CCGTCGCTGTCGTTGCCGCCGTCTCGCGTCTGTGCTATTATTTGGACTATAACAATCTTATATCGCATTATCGAATCATTAATACCCTGCGGCATCACTATGTAATATGACCACTCCTCCCGCCGCATACCGAAATTGCATTGTATGATGATCCTCGTCATGGACGCTACCCCGAATCGCGATGTAGATGACCATTGAGTCTCGGACCCTATTATAATATATTTCCATACAACAATAATACCATTATATCGCTCCCCATTGTCATCAGAGACAATGTCTCGCCCTAAGTGGGGAGGGTGTAAGGTGGGCGCCACCAAGTGGCGCCGAGTTTGGACGTGTTTGGTTACTGAGTGATAGATGGACGGATTGGGCAGGCGGATCGTTAGACAACAACTACCTCTGAATCTGCTTAGCTCAATTACCTATCTTGTATCTCTCGCAATAAGACGAGGTTCCGTTTATTGGTGTGTGTATGATACAAGCTAACTGTACTGACTACAGAGATTCTACACTCTCCAATGCTTACACACCCTGGTAAGCACAAGAGTCATGCATCCGGGGACAGGGTCTAGGAACTCCTCTGCGGGGAGGCAGTACACAAAAATCTGTGTCAGCAGTTCGACTGGTAGATGATGTATGGGTGTTGCTTTCGCTGTGGTTCCTCCCGATCCCGGTAGGGAGATAACCGCTGCGCGTTCTTCAGTTATCAATGAGAATTTATCCAACGGTGGAGCTTGTCCTGCCTCTCCTATGTGGCAAGTAAAAGGTCATTCCGATAGTCTCTACCCGTATAGCGAAGACGGTCACCTTTTCCGTCGTCAACATGAACAGTCCCTTCTCGAGAAGCTATCAATAGTTCCCTTGCCATTCTTCAGAACTCAGCACTGGCCTAGTCAGATACGCAGGGTAATGCTGGAGAAAGTCTGTCGAGACGACTGGTGCTTCAGAGGATGTGGCGTGAGTCGAACTTGAACAGCGCGGGCGACGGGAACCAATCAGCAGCACCCGGGTCCCGCCACCTGGTTGCCCGATGGATCTTACCGCATTCGGTGCTTCCTGGCCACTGCCAATGTGCTCGAGCGCAAATCGACCGTAATATCCACACACACAATGGAATGTAGGACGAAAGGAATCCTTGAACTTGGAAGCCGAGCAAACCTCCAGAGGTCCTAGCGGTCCACTGCTTTTCCATACTAGTAGTGCATAACACTAGTGAGACGTGCTACATCGATGGTGATATGCTCCTGTATGGCGGCTGTAGGTACATAAATCGCGTATGCAGCCAGCCGAAGCCTATAGTATCATGTAGAGGTGCTCTCCTAAGAGCAAGTCCATGTGCCGCATGCCGGGAATGTCTACGACAAATAATCATAAGAATGGCACAGGTAGGCAGGACAAACGGGTGACATACCTGGGGAAACAGCGGCAAAATGGTATTCCAATACGCACAAGACGCGTCTCCGGTAAAATGATCGCCGGGAAGTGCCTCCGTCGTTGAGTTTCCCAGGATCGCCAAGGTACTGTACATATCTCAGTAAATATGGATACACCCATCAACGAGTTCTTACTCACGTGGTATTGGCAGGGTCGTACAGATACCAGCTATAGAGAAATTAGATGGAACTTATGTTGATAGTAGACAATGACTAACCCAGGGATCTGCGGCCCGGCCCAAGGGTCTGTAGCATAGAGAGATGAGTGAGTCGCAGTAAGGGATGCTGGTAACATTTCACCCACTCTTGATGAAGTTGGTCCAGGCCGTCACCATCAAATTAGAGACTCCGATCTCAAATGGAGTTGCGGGCTCATAGGGCGCGTCCAATTGGATCTCAGCCCAGTTACTGTCAAAGACCGGTGAGCAATCGAGGTACGATGAACATAAATATCCATCTTACCCGAAGACGAATCGGATGTCCGAACCTTTGCAAGAGGTTAGGTAATTTAGGCGGTGGAGCTCCGAGAGCTCACTTACCGTGGAACGTCCCGATCGACACTCCCAACGAATTCAGATTTGCTGCTACGAGGTCAAATTCATACCGCCAAACAGGCTCTCCGAGGGCGTAGGTACGCCAAAGCCCAAGGTTGCTAACGAGGCAACGCATGTGGGCGTCTCGCCACATGGCAGCTGAAGCATTGAAGCCATATGGATATTGCCTAGTTCCGAGATTGAGAAAGACAACCACGAAAAGGGTGATGGACAAGACTCACACGGAGGGTGTCGGATAGATGTCCTCGAGCACAGAGAGGTTCGCCCATGGCAGGTTGAGGTTAGTCGATTTCGCCTATATGACAGGATGTCAATGATGTCAGCCCGAATGAACGTTGAGGCACTCACATAACCAGTAATATTTGGCCAATAAGCAGTCGGCTCGCCATTGATAATTAGAGTACCCTCGTCCTGGTTGTATATATTCAGGTTAGACGGCTTCGACCACATAGACCTCTCAAACCCTTACTCGATTCGTCCCGATCAGCATCGGGAATCTGCCTACGGAACCTTGCTTCGTCTGAAGGACATAATCCTTGAATATTGTGATGTTATCGATGACGGGCTGGAATTGTGCATTCGTGGCCAGGGCTACGGACTTCAGCAGGAAGGCATCCTTCGTGCGCAGGCACTCCAACATCCCGGCACCGGTAGGGCAATTGACCGTATCATTTGACGCCACAATCGCGAGCTGTTGGTCCCCAGGATACATAGGTTGGGACGCTTGATCTTGCATGAGTATGACACCTTTGTCTCCAAACCTGTGCACTTACTGTCTGCGCTCTGATAGACAGTAATGATCAAAGTCTCGCTCAAACATCCAGTTTACAGACTCACCTGCATGATAGCACCGATAATAAGAGGCTCGTGCCCGTAGTATTCATTGTAATACGAGACATAGTAATTAGTCATCTCTGCAAGCTCTCAGTACTGCAGCGCTAAGGAGACACCGGATGACTAACCTGCGCCGACTGATTCACCTGAAGAATACAAGGATCAAATTAGCTACTCCATAGTGTGTCGGGTAGACGCACCTCCGAGGACTATGTGGCTGGGGTCACCACCAAATGCAATGATATTGTCTCGAGTCCACTCAACAGCAGCACGCGTGTCGAGCAGAGCTAGGTTTTGCGTTCCAGGTGCCATCTCCGATGAATGCGGGAATGCGAAGAGTGCGAGCCGGTAATTGAAGCTGACGAATACTATACCAGTCGCTGCGAGGTGAGACCCGTCAACCTGCGGATTGGAAGCAGCTTGACTATTGAAGCCTCCTCCCCTACACCAAGATTCACGACTCAAAACGATGTCAGAAAGGCTGAGCTTACACACTCACGTAATCCAAACATAGACGGGGAGCAGACCCGTATTGTTAGCTGGAGCGATAACATTGACCCTCAAGCAATCTTCGCTCTGCACCGACGTCCCGTTATAACCGTTGTATCTGTTGCGGAGGGGATTGAGCACTATCAGTAGAGGGCACAAGTTACTTACACGCCCTGAATGCACGCTGGGCCGTAGGCTGTGGCATCGAATACCGTGCTCGGGTCCCGCGCGACGGGTTGAGGGGGCAGCCACCGATTTGCTCCAGACGTGTCGGCTGCGAAACGCATGCCCAGCCATTTGTTCAAAGAGACCGGGGTGGTGTTCGTATCCAAATATCCCTGGACCGGACCTGACGTCGTTTGTATAACAGGCAGCAGGCTCTGTTGTCCGGCCGCAAAGCTAGCTAGCAGAAGCAGCACCGAAGTGGTTGCTTGAAGGCTCCACATTGTGCCCAGAGTACGGGGGCGGAGTACTTGAGGACCAGAGAATAACGGGATCCTCGGAGAACAACATCTTCAGTGCCTGCAGGATTAAGTATTCAACGACATCGGCACCGTTCCCCGATATTAGAATTGCACTTATTACAGCTGCAACTGAGCCTATTTTGCGGGAGACATTCGGGACTTCGGTGCATTTGGTTGGGGAAATCTACCACGAGTGCGTTGCGATTCCTGCTTCCTTCGTCGGAATTGGGTAACGTTAGTAGTTAAAATATGGTATAATCGGGGAAAAGTCGGAAGTGGAAGCAGTCCACAGAGCAGGCCGTCTCAGGGCTTAACCGCCTGACCTTCAGGCGTGCACAAGCGGTAGCGGGCATCCGGCAGCATACATGGTGCTTCGAAAGAGGCGCCCCTTGTATGATTGGCAGGATGAATCTGAGCACGTTCTACCTGCATTATATGTGGTTTAGCGAGTGAAGTTCGTGCCAGAGAGCAAGCAGGTGAGACTCACCACATTTCACTACCCCGCCACTTGAACTCGCGTTTAGTCTCGTTCGTGGCTGTCGTCGCAAATCTAAAAGCATCCAAAACGCGCGCGGGTATTCGAGAGTTTGAAAGGAATATATATTACAGAACCATTTATTCATTACTTGCTTCTTCCAAAACTATACCACGCGCCCCAGATATATGTAGTACTTCTACTGCTCTTTTATTCTTCTCCTTCTTGAATCTTGACCTTGCTGCGAGACGACGATATCGATGAGTGAGAGAAAGTCCTAAGATACAGACCAGAGTAACGGCGGAATAGGATACGCGGACGGACGGACGTGTGACGAGAGGGGAAGGGGAGGTAAGAGGGGAAGGAGCGAGAATAGATAAGATTGGTGCAGGCGTACGAGCAGCAGATGCAACGAGGGAATGAAGAAGGGTGAAAGACGAATGAAGGAGTCCATGGCTCTCGGTCAGTGGCTGTCCCTGTCCCTGGTATCTCTATCCGGCGTCCCAATGAGACTGTTCTATGTGAAACGTGGTAGGAGATGCGTGCGTAACGGAAGCATGGCAGAGGAAGGAGACTTGCGATGGGGCACGGAACAGGAAGCACAGGTGAGAGATACGACAGAGACTATGCAGCGCTGTACAAGAACAAGTTGTTCGTCGCTGCAATCTACAGGTCCCCAAGGAATCAATACCAAAGACACAACGAACAGCAATAACACACTGACCGCAATCGTGTTTTCTCTCGGATGCCAACTCGCATGCAGGATTTTCTTGTTGAAATCCAAGGTCTCCATCTGCATTGCGTCCCGCAGCCCACCAGCACGCATCCCATTCTTTGCTCCAGGTTTATTGCCAGGCAACGGTCCACCAATCTTCTTCGCCTTGAACGCCGACTTGTCTGCCTGCAGAACGACGTCGTTCAAGGTGTCCACGTCGTAGATCCGGAAGTAGTTATGGTAGGACCCCGTTAAAACGTGTCTGTTGTGGAATATGGAATAAGTATACAGTCCGACGGACACCATAACCACACAATACGGTAGACTCGAACGGAGAATGCCACCGGATCAGAACTCACTTGTCATCTCCTCCCCAGATACACTCAAATTTGTCGAATATGCAGTCATTCTCATACAAATCGCAGAGCTTGCCTCTGAGGTGGTCGTGTATAGGGATTGTCTTCACAGGTCTCGTGTCCATATTGATATCCCAGATCTTAAGCGAGAGGTAGTCCCGAGACAGGATGTATCGGCCGTCATGACTGAACTTCACGTCCGAAATGGATGAGATGATCTCAGAGAAGAAGGTCCGGTTCGATGGGTCCTCTTCCTCTTCAAACACTGCGGGTGGAAGTGAGCATACCGGATAGTGAGGCGGTAACCAACATGACATTTACATTTCGCATGACGGTCACAGAGAGCAGAGTCTCGCATGTCCGCCAGCTTGATATTGCTCTTGGAACTCGAATACATGAAGAGATTGCACTGCGTTGGATGGAACTCCGTCGCAGTGATGACCTCTGTGAGCTCCTCCATATTCGCGGGCTTGATGTCCACAATGTCTGATAATGAGAACATCAGCCCTCAGTTGAGATAAAGCGTTCCAGAAAGTCACGCACTAAAGCTCTGGTCGCTGATATTCAAGTTCCACAGGTTGATTCGCAAGTCGTCCGCACTGATGTACGTCTCCTGGTCGGAGTTCACGGATATCGAATGGATGTGATACGCATGCGCATTAGAGTAGACTTTGCGCGGTACAGCTGCAATGATATTGTCTTGATGCGTCATCCGGGGTAACCGCAGATTCGACTTCGCCGTGGGTGGCGGCAGTGGTCGTTGTCCATCGTGCAAGTTCGATTCCGAGACTACTCGCAACGATTTCTCGAAGACCTTCCACAGCTTAATTGTCTTGTCTGGGGGCAAACGCCGGGGGGAGATAGATCGATTATGACACAATGCTCCAATAGGCAGAATTCGCGCAAGCACCTACCGTTGGTGGAAAGCAAGAAGTGGGCCGCGTTCATCCGCCTACACCACTTGATCTTGTTGATCTTCTCCTCGATTTCCAGCGACTTGAGGTAGTCGAACTCTGGCTCATGCGATTGGAATTCCGTGTAGAATTTGTACTCGCATCCCTTTTTCTAGATCGAGGACAATCATACGGTTCATCACGTAGGTGAGGTTCGAAGCGGCCAAGCAATATCCAGACAAACGCGAAGGTCAGTGTCACGTCCAGATCATTGCGCCATCAGCCCGGATTGGTCTTTCCGGCGCGATTGGCGCAATGGCGAGGGCCACATACCGACTCGTTGCGCTCAAACAAGACAACCCGACCGCCCTTGTCGCCCGTCGCGAGATAATTGCCTGTTGAATCGAACTCCACCGTAGAGATGATGTCGGCTACATCGCCGTCGCGTGATTAGGACCGCGGTGCGAGGTTACCCCACACGACGAACAGCTGGACGATGAAGACGCGGCCGTACCTTCTGTGATATCCTCGACCTCGCCCTTGTCACCAAAGCACTGCGCGAAACGCCAGTTGCCTGAGCCCGATGGGTCCGTGTCCATGCTTGTCATGCTTGTCTATGCGAATCGCGGAAGTCGTAAGCGTCTTGTTCTTGTCTTGATATGCCCACAGCGTGCTCGATGTGCGCTGATGTCGTCAAAGTCGTCGGCGGCGTCTGACGCGGTGTAGGCGTGCGTTTCGTGTGGCGCGTTGCGGGTAAACGGTATGAATAAGAAAGTGCGAAGGCCTCGTTGGTGCAGGGCCGAGCATACGTCGATCTGGTTCTGGCCTCGCTACATCGCTTTGGCTCTATTTGGCCCGCACAGGTCGGCGCCACCCGACATACCCCGACCAGCGTCAACACAACGTTCATCATCGCCAGAGACAACGAGCAGCACCATGCCCATCGCGCCCATCACCGGAAAGCTCAGAAAGAGGCTCTGGCTTGACCTCTCCGTCGCCCTCGGGCTCGGTGTTTCGTCTGCGTACGCCTACTGGTGCGTTATTTCCTGATCTTGGTCGCGTGGTCTGTTAAATATTCCTTGCAGGTATGGCATCCACCTCAAGATGGGTAAGCATTGATGCTTTGACTCTGCATGCTATGCGATGTTATCAACGCTAACGTATATCCGACCAGTCCAACGCCAGGAGGAATTCTACCTGAAGCTCGAGAGGCAGAGGATTCAGCAGCAGTCATGAAGGACCTGCAGGGCAGCATAACAAGGCGTAACACCACGCATAGACCAACACCAGTGCCGTCGTTACTCGTTTGTTCAACCACCTCCTTCCACACAATCCGAATTGTATGATGACTCATTGAACCATGGCAATCATCATAAGAATAGCGACTAATGTAAGAGCCGTCCATAACATATCGATACAGAGCCTTCCAGTGGCATATAAAGACGTTAGATATTACTCCGCAACAATCCCATCTCCCTAAGCCGGTCGCAGCTCTCCACCTTCTCCTGGTCGATCTGCCGTACCTTCTCCCAATCCGTCCCAATACCAAAGAATCCAACCTCGGCCTCTTTCCGCTGTTGTTTCCGATCAATCCCTCGCTGACACTGATCATACAGGTCTTGCACGTAGATCTTCTCGATGTTCTTCTCAAATCTACTGAGCCCAGGGGATAGCCCCTTGTCCCCATTCCGTGCAATTTCCTCGGATATCGGGTGTTTTGAGAACTCCCTGGGGTTGACATAGTAATGGACGTTATAACCATGCGTCGAGCGTTCCAGGTTGTATTGAGGGGTGGGGTGGAAGGAAAACCGGGGGTCTGGGGTTTCTGGCGTCGCAAACAGCTTGGGCAAGGCAGAAAGGAAGGAGAACGCGAACAGGACAAGGAGAGGCAAGAGCTGGACGAAAATGGAGCTTGCGCGAGGCTGCTCAGCTTCTTGCTGCCGTTGTCTCCGACGTGGCGCCTCTCCAAATCCGCCCATGCGTGTCGTGCGGAACCCGTCAGGGCCAAAAGAGGCCGTGAACACTGCGGCTGATCAGCATACTGGCGCACGAGCACGCGGACATACGAACCTGGTCCACCGAAACCGCCGCCAAACCCGCCCCCGCCGCCGAAGAACATATTGAATAGGTCTTCCGGACTGATTTCCCCGTCAAAGCCGCCGCCTCTGAATGATGTAGTGGCGAAACCTGGTGAGGCGTCTGCGGAGGACATTCCGCTGAAACGAGCTTCGGGGTCAGAACCATGGCGATCGTACGACGCTCGTTTCTGCGGGTCTTGGAAAATGACTTAGCACAAATATACATTGTATGAACGAAGACAAATTTACCTGATAGCACCTGGAAGGCCTTAGAGACCACTGTAGGATGTCCATGAACATCTGCACATGCTGGGGAGCACTGACAACTCACTCTTGAACGCCTCGTCAGCTCCCGGTGCACCATTCTTGTCAGGATGTAGTGCCAAAGCAAGCTACGGACACAGTCACGACCTGCACTAGATTGCGCAGAGCTGCACACGAACCTTGCGATATGCTTTCTTGATCTCCACCTCCTCGCAATCCTTCTTGACGGCCAAGATCTCGTAGTAGTCTGTGACTTTGCACGCCCTCACACGCTTGACAACGGCGTGCTGCTCTGGTGTATAATCCCTCTTCGCCTTCTCCGGCCCCGCACTGCCGTTCGCGCCAGCAGTACTGCTACTTGCTGATGGCGCATGTCTGTGTTTCGCACCCGAAGCTGAGGGGTGCGCTTCTGCCGAGGACGAGGACGCGGAAGGGCTTGGTCCGGACGCAAGCTCGCGCTCAATCGCGGCAAGTAGCTTCTGCGCCTCTGGCGTGTCGAAGAGCGCGATAGACTTCTGACAAAACTTGCGGGCAGAGGTGAGGTCGCCAGCGTCCCGTTTCCGCTGCGCTATCGAGAGGGAGCGAAGAGCCTCATCCTTGTTGCCCTCCATCTGATGCAGGTCCCAGACGAGACAGAGCCAGGTATGTAGGGCGAGCTAGACGACAGCAGCCTGAGGAGGACGTGGAGGTGGGAACCGTGCGCGTCAAGCCAAGTAAAGACTAGTAGGCTGCTGTTTGTAGTGGCCGCATACAAGAGTTTCTATTGGATTAGTAATCGACTACAACTGACTACAAAAGATCCTAGTCTGGTCCTTATCAAAAGTGTCCGAACTTGTTGCCATTCTAGTGCTCTCCTTCGTCATCCATTACTCGGATGAACGATCACGCTTCTTGCTCTCTGTATGCAACGTCCACCACCCGCCGCCACCGACGAAGAGCCCGAGGAGCTCAAGCGATTCCGAGACGCATGGCGAGCTGAAGTCCAGCGGAAAAAGGCCCAAACCGTTCAGTCGCACCGTACTTCAGGGAGTCATGACGGCACATCTCATGCTCTATCCGACCTTGCAGATGATCGGCCTTCAGAGAATGCGGGGTCAGCGAAGGGAAAGAGAAGAGACAGTCTGAGCACCGCAGGATCTACGTCTCCCGAACCTCGCGCCAGCGCCGCTGTGAGATATGCGACCGTCTCTCCGGAGCCAGGGCCGTCTAGCGAAGTCATCGCAGGTCAAACAAGAGTCACAAGTGATCTGGCACCTCTGGGACGTGCTCTGCAGTCTGCTGTGGATGTGTACCGTAGGGCAATCCAGAATGAGCAGAGTGGCGACTTGGACGAAGCTTTGCGGCTCTATCGTCAAGCGTTTCGCATGGATGATAATGTAGACAAGGCCTACCGGAAGGCGGAGAAGTTACAAGAGTTGCGGCAGAACTCTCAGGGAGCGGTTCCTCCGGCTACTGAGACCAGACCCGATGCTCCTGAGCCCTCCATAGTTGTGATCGACGATAAAGCCCTCGACTTGTCAGCATTATCCATATCAGCGGATACCAAGGGTGCACACGGAGTGCATGCCGTTGTGACCGGGACAATAGCGAGCCTGCTAGAGAGCTTCCCCAAGGAGCTTCGCTTTGAGCCAGAGGACGAGAGACGGACGCTCCACCTGAACAAGGTCCCAGACGAGTTACTCATCCACATCCTCCGATACCTTGACCATACTACTATCGAGCGCTTCGCTGCTGTGGACAAGAAGGCTCGAGTGGTCAGCCTGGATTCTGTCATATGGAGGTATGAATAGCGCTGCACGCCATCATCCGATGATTGCTCATTCTTGGCTCAGGGATTTCGTCTACGAAACGTACAAACCCCCACAAGTGCCCCACGAGAAATATATGAAGGCGATGATGCAGCGTTATCTTCACGATTATCGTCGAGCGTTCATAGAGCAACCGCGGCTACGCTTGGATGGTGTCTACATCGCCGTATGCCATTACGTGTGAGTCCTCTGCTCCGTTCCATTCCCTGTATACTGACTTTGCAAATAGACGTGCTGGGCTGAGCCAGAATGCCTGGGTCAATGTACGTCCACAGTGAAATGTTGCTATAACTTGTAATAACCACTGCGAACAGGTTAGTCACCTCATCACTTATCATCGATTCCTGTACGTCCATCGAGAGATTTCATTTGTTTAGGTTACTGACACCATCCGTGGACCAGTCGATTCTTTCCCAATGGCCAAGTAATCTCTTTACTGGCCAATGAGGAAGTGGAGCCACAGCAAGTGATCCCTCTACTGAAGCCGACATTGCGCATGAAGGTTAGCACCCTCTCTTCCGTGTTTCAAGCAGCTAGTCCTGAATATATCTCTTCCACCAGGGCGTCACCGTTGGAAACTGGCGTCTGGAAGGCACAACCGTCTATATCACGGACCTCATCGACCCAGCTTCACTTGAGCTCAACGCGAGCGCCAGGTCTAAGCGCTACGCGTTCCAGATGACTCTGGCGCTCCGTTCGCGTCCTCTGGGCCGATGGAATAAGCTCGACATCGCGGCTTACGAGACCGTCAACATAGAAACGGGCGAGACGGATTTGCTGCCGTTGAAGCATGAGAGACCGTTCTGGTTCTCCAAGGTCCGCTCGTACGCATCATACTAGACATGCTACGGCAAGGGCGAACGACACCCACTTGATCCTCCACCTGTTGTATCATGGTTAATAATCACAGACTACGCACGGTTGATGCTTCGCCCATGACCAGGATAGTATACCACTTTTCTCGTTCCTCCATTCACTTGTTGCACGACGCATGAACATTGGAAGCACCTGAAGCAGCCAGCGGACATCCTCCAATACGACTATGTCGAGTTTGCAATATGCCAGAACAAAGCTCAGGGTTGCGAGGTAGTGACGAGCAGAAAGTACAGTGCGCAAAACAGATCGGGCGGGAAAGGTCGGACGGATTATGCTTGTGCCGCCATAGGGCTTGCGGTGCTGTCTCTCCTGCGTTCCCCAGACCCTGGCACCTTCTTCAGCAGTCCTTGCTGATACGTCTCCCATGAACGGATCAGCTGTAGGAGCCCTTCAGCCTATGTCCGTATCAAGACGGCGTGTAAGTCTTACCTCTTGCTGTCTCGAGATCATTCCTTCCAAGAACTCCTGCAATGAGTTCTTGAAATCCTCGATCCGCTCCTGCTCGAAGCGCGTCATCTCACTCTTAATCAACTTCGACGCCTTCTCGAAGTCTTGCTTGGCGTCCAGAGCACGACGTTCCGCCTTAGCAGGTCACGTTTATTTCTGCTGCTCCTATACCAATGATAATACCAGGCGTACTCACATCTGCTATGAGACTCAATGAATGGCCCAGCCGGTCTGCTGGTATTCGACCCTGGGCCCGGTTCTTCTCATGATTTTGTTTCACTCGTCGGACCTCATTCTCGGCGTTCTGCCACGAGTGATAGGTCCTCACTCGAGAAGCGAATGCTAGCTATACCGTTGAAAACCTCAGCATTAATCACCCTTTCAATCTTGAAACCCGGAGACTGACCCGAACTGAGTTGATCATCCTGGCATACTCATCGACTGCGATTAGCAGATATGCATCAGTTCCAGCCGCTTGTGAAGAGAAGCACGAGATAACGGACCTGTACTGAGAACAGTGGATACATCCTGATTGGCTTGTGTGCTCTGGAGGTCTTGTGCTTTGCGTTCAACGTCTGCCATGGCCAGAAGCGAGTGGGACAGTTGCTTCCCAACATCTGACGCTGCCAAGTCACTGATGGTCTGCGCAAATTCGCCCGTTGCAGCGGACATCTCTGTTCCAACAGGATGGTAGTATTTAGGACATCAGAAAATGGTCTCCCTATATATCCCACGGAACTTACCTGCTCGCTGTTTCGCCACTGCATCTATGGCCTTGACGAGACCACGTAGCTGGGACTCCAGACTGTCCAGGTACGCTTTCTGGCGATCGAACCACTGCAAAAGCCTCAGATCTTGGTTCACTGTACGCAGGAAAACAGGCTTACCTCATCCGTTTCGTAAAACCGAGGTCCAGTCAATGTCTGTCCGATGGAGGCAATTAACCCGCCTCGTTCATGTGCGATTTCCGCCTTGCGATGCTTTATCTACGTGAGCGCTGTTACAGCTGTCCCAAGGAAACGATAACCCGCTGGAGCTCACATCCAACGCAAACGTATCGCTTTCCAGGAACAGCTTCAGGTCGGGGTCCTTGCCCAAAACAGCATGGTTGGCAATTTTGTTTATACACTTCTCCAAGGCTTGCCTACGTTGCTGTACAAAGTTCTCGTCGAACCGGTTGAATGGGCTTTTCTCTGGTACTGGAGGGACAACAACACCAGGATTGTTGTCTGACAGGGTTTCATATAGCCAGAGGAAGTCGGAATATCGGCGAAGGACAGAGAACAAAGGTTTGCTGAACATAGGTGAGGTAGTCTGGGTTATGTCTCATTGGTCCATGCGAAGGACGTAAGATGGAGGAATTGATGACTTACTCGAGTGTGAACGGTATACATGGTGTAGCCCCGAATAGGGTCGCCGACCTTCTGAGGGTCTTCAACGGATATTACAAACAGCGGCTGGATCCCCTTGCCCAACTTAGATGCAACCCCCGCCGGACCCTGTATTATCTCATCTTAGCAAACCTGAAGGCAACGAGATGTGCATACCAGTAATCTAGAAGGATATCCGAGGGCCGGCGACAAAGGGAAATAGAAAGACAACCTCGAGGCACGTCGAGCCTTAGGAGGAAGTACTCACCGATGTCGAAACAGCCCGGTCGGCAGACCTGATGGTCTGCAAGATGGGCCGGTCGTCGTCATCATCGTCATCCGCATTGTCCTCCTTAGACACAGAGGAAGACTGCTGGTTCACAAAGGATGCCTGCATGCCATCATTCCAACCTCCCCCGAAGCTCTCGCCGCCGAGCGCAAGACTCGCAAAGGAATGATTAAATGCATCGGAATGTGTTGGTTGGTCAAGCGGAGAGATCACAGCACGCTCAGCTGGAGGTGATGACAAAGTGGGGGCAGTTTTGGGCGTCTGCTCCGTCGCAGAAACACTCGAAACCTGAGGCCGAGGTGCGGGCTCCTGGGACCCTGTAAACGATGGCTCGGGATCCGATAATCGAGAAACAGATGCTGGGGGTGCCTTCTCCGTGAAAATATCGTCTGCGTCAGGTCCCTTAGTAGTTTCAGGTTCCTCTGACTCTGGTGATGGGGCGCTCTCCCGAAAGCCCGGAGTACGGGGAGATGTTGCATCAGGTTCGGCAGGAGGCGTTCGTGGTGATTCCTCATGGAGGTCTGACGACAGACTCGTAAGATCTAGTGGCCCATTAGACTCTTCCTCCCGCTCCGTGGTGGAAGTGTCTTCGTGCGACTCGAAAGCAGATGAGGCATTCGTGCTCTCGTCTTCGAAGCCGTTATGCAGTGTAACCTGTGTCCCGAAACTCGCCCATGGGTCGGGCGAGTCCGACCTGGGTTTCGTGAATGGGTCCTCGAAGGGATTATCCTCCAAGGCTCGCCGCGAAGAAGAGAGTAGATCGTCAAAGCCGTCCATACCGTCGAGGTGATGGTTAGCGTGGCGGGTGGCGGCGCAAACGCGTTCCTGCCGTAACTCGGGTTCTCAGCATCAACATTTCTGCAATAGGATGCATCGCTTCTGCTTTTGTACCACTACTTCGTCGTAGTTGCTTGGACACTTTCGTACCACTGAAAGCTTGAAGCCATTCTCATTATTTTCGTCTAACTCAGGCTTGACAGGAATCGGCGAAAGACTTCAGAGTCTTGAGCCATCAGGTATTTTCTTGTGCTCTCTCTGAATCGAAGGCTACCGGCGAAAGCTGGCTGGAAGACCCTAATCTATGGCCTAGTTTTGTAGTACACACTTTCTCGCATACAGGGACTGCGCGGCTGTTATCCCAAGGTCCGGTTCGAGCATATGTTGATCGCAATACCGCCAGGTAGGCTCGTGACCACCGTCTCGTAGCCTGATTGAGGGCAGAGTCAGGCTAGAGAAATATTCTGCCCTCAATGTTGGTACGACAGGCTGGTCACGAGCCTAACCGCCAGGTTTCACAGATTTTGTTGTCTTCGGGTGGCGTCCTCAACCCGAACATCAAAGAAGCGCCGTGTCAGAACACGCTTACTTAGTGTTTCGTCGTCTGGCTCTCAATAAGGACTGCTGATGCTAAATAATAGCAGAGTGGCTTCATAGATTTGTAAGACTACAGTAGTTGGCTGGCAAGTCGACGACGGTGCCACAAAACCAAATAAGAAATAGCTGCCACACGTATATGCCGTAAGTGTTAACTAGCCTATAACCGGGATACTTACAAACGACGACACTGTAGAGACAAGCAATGGACCTGTTGAATATTTTCCCGATGTGTATAAATCATGCGTCGAGGTGGAGGCTCTCAGCAGATATAGTTGTTTGCTAGAGAGCGCTTACCAAACCTCGGTTTGGTCTGCGAAGCGAAGAACAACATCGCAGTAAGTAGTCGCCCTATTTGTCCCCCATATCACACTGCGCCAAAATCGCCGCGACGTCCTGTCATTCGCGGCTGAGGGAGCGTCCAGCTGACATCGCCTTCTGTGACGGCAGCAGGTTCATCATCTCGGCGTTAAGAGACGTCTGCCCTTTTTGGCCCATGTCCACGAACGCGGGGCGAAAATCTCACCCACCACACTCTCCCTCTTGCGGGTCACTTGGGATATCGCGCTCCTCTGTCTAAAGCTCGCGCCCACGGCTGTACTGACCAGTGACAAGAATGGTATCCTCATGCATCACACTCCATCGACCTCTTTTGGCTTGTGCAATCTAGTCTGGGCCCCCCACTACACTCGTTATACTGCACCCTCGGCAGAGTACGGAGCGGTACGAGAGGGCCGGAGTGGGTATTACCAGACACGTAACCTGCGTGAAGGTAAAGATTGTTCTGCATTAGCTCCGGAGCAGTTGCACCACTTCGCTTTGGGCATTGCAATTCTCTCGCGCGATGCTAACTTGAATGGACTGCGCATCTGGAGTAAGTCGTGAACAACTCCTGGCATTTACAGGGTTAACATGGACGACATGGACGTCACATTGCCTAGACGGGTAGCCATTTGGAATACGCATCCCCATCCACCCAGGTTTCGTGGCTTTGTGGCTGCGGTACTCGGTGGAAGTACGGCAGCTTGCGACGCTGTGAGAGATGATCCATGATGGTCTTCTCCCGCGATCAAGTGACCCGCTCGTCCTCCTGGCGGTGTACGCGCAGCTCGGTGGCTTTACAGGACAATGATGGGCCGCTACTCCTCGGTTGGTGCGTCTGAGGGCGATTCAGAACGTTTGAATGAACCCCGGTCGTGTGAGCTTGCATCATTGGGATCAAAATCGTTACGGTATAACTCAGGTATAGTCGCCAACTTTCCGTCTCTCCAGCGGCCCTGCAGTTGATCGTGGGGTTACAAGCCCTCCAACTATCCCCCATCTGGGTATCGAATTGATTTTTCTGTAGCATCTCTGCCACCGGTGGTCGTACCTGATTGCTTTTTTGATTATTCCTGGTGAGATGAAGCCAGAGTTCCAGGATGGCATACCCCTGGTAGCCTGCTCTTCGAAACGTCTTGATGGCTTGGAGTCGCGGACGACCCACATCCCGTCAAAACTGCGGTCGAGGAGGTTCACTAGCTGCGGGGCCGGTCGCTGATCGGAGGCTGGGGGATGGGCTGGGCTTCGCCGTGCTTCCATGTGCCCTCGAATCCCCGCTTACTTTCCTTGATGACCCAATGATGACCCCGACCTACATACATTATCTTGCCCGAATCCGCCTCGGTGGGGTGGACTCTCTAGATTCATCTGCGGAGCCAATTCTGATACAGCATGGCTGGTGGCGTCTGGCGGAGGCTGGCCTGCTAGAAGTTTCAATAACGAGTTGGAAGCAGTTTGCGAGCACAACCCTGAAGTGATATGCATAAGATACGTATTACAGGAGTGAGTACATGCATTATATCGAGCAATATACAGCTATCATCAATGACTATGCGGGATGAACGATGCGATGCCGATTTGAATGTCAAGCCTGTCAATGCCCAGTCGCCCAGGAGAAAACATGAACTTATTAGTACTGCAGGATTTCATCGCCGGTACGCTGTGCACTTGTGCTTCTCTAGCATCGGCGCTGAAGAAAAAAATCTATGGCAGATTGTGCACGAGAATTCACATATCTTGTCGTGCTGAGTGACCTCGTGTCTGAGCCGATCGTGCTGCCTGGTAAACGTTTCCCTACAGCCAGGCTGGGTGCAGGGGATAATTTTGCGAGGTTTCGGGATATGGACACCGGAATGCACACGACAGGTGTATTCCGAGCGGAAGACGCGAGTGCACGTCGGGTGAGGGCAGTGGTAGATGTATAGTGACGCTGATTGCCTCCTGGGCTTCCCTCGGCGTTTCGCTATTGCAGCATCTGTACTTTCGTCCTCGCTTACCCGCTCCAGGACGGATGAACCAGCCTGTAGGCTGGCTGATGGTCCCGGCTCGGGGGTTGCCCCATGACTGTGCGGTCTCGTGGAAGGCGTAGGGAATCCGGAGAGCAAGCTACTAGTGTCACTCGGGATGGAGAGACCTTGTGGGTCACTTGGGAGGACATTGTGAAGCGATGAGGAAGCTTGAGGCGCATACGGAACTCGAGGCGGGTAAAGCCCCCGCTGTTCTCTGGAACAAGCATCGCCTACCGTCAGGCCTTGCAAAAAATTAGCATCTCGTCTCTACTGGATGACAATGGTCGCACCCAAAGCTCCTGACCGCACATCGACTCCCATCTGTACCTCGGTCTCACCGAACGCTCCAAAGTAACTTGTGGTAGCAGAGTTAGGCATAGTTGTGAAGTGCCCGGCATGGTGCTGGAAGACCGAGGAAGAATTCGACAATGACATGTCCGTGTTCGTACTATGCATGTCTGTACGTAACAATTCGCGTCAAGAGTCCAGGGTCGTAGATGAGTGCCAACCTACTTGGATCTGTGGCGAAATGACCTTCATCAGGGAAGCCTGTAAGAACCATGGGAGGATCTGGCAGCATACAAGCCTGCACAGGAGATATGTTCGCCGCCGAGTCTATAAACAGTCTATCAGCATATGTGCACAACTGACTCACGAGACGATTGACCTACCCTGCATTGGGTGGCTAACGTGAGTTAATGGTGACCAGACAGGACTTAGGCAATGATATGGCATGGCGAAGTGGTCGATGTCTTCAGCTTTTGGTCCTTCCAGACAGTGGCGCGAATCATTCCCCGGGGGTTGATGAAAGACCTTCGGGCTCGAATACGAGTTCTCCTCGTCGTATCCTATCCCAGAGCGTTGTAAAAACCAGAAGACCTCCGCACTGCGCAATTGTGCACACTTACCGTAGCCAGTGGCCCGTGGACTGCTACCGACTGAGAAGGTACAGTTTGTGTGAGGTTGTAACATGCCTTGTAGGTCGGGTGTAGATGCATCCGGTCCATCATTACCGGCGCGATTCAGGGCATAGAATCTTAAAACGCAGTGACCAGTTGTGGTGGAATTAGCTGTCTCGAATTTGATGAAAGTCCCGGAAGTCTGCCCAGAAGTGATTCCTAGAGTGCCTCGTCGTCCGATCGACTCAAAGAATAGCCTCGGAGGTTGTGTTATATTCGGGAAATCGATGCAAACCTTGAAGCCAAGTAACTGCTCTACCGAGAAAGCAGCCTCCGTGTAAGTCATCGCGGCAGCTAGGGAATGAACAGACTGAGTGATGTAGCCCAGGAAATTCACAACGACATTTGTATGCCAATGGTACGATTAGACGACTTTTCGGTATCGAGATTGTTCTGCGCTTAGAGTCTCCCCCACCGTACTCCGGGGGTCGTATAAGATGGAGTTCGATCTGCAAGAATCACATCGGAGATTCAGACCCGCTCCTTGATTTGCCCTTTGCCACCAGTCAAGCACGCGGTGCGCGGGTACTTAGCTGTATGAAACGGATTTACAATGATGGGCGATGCACCGCCGGAAGAGGTTCATATCGTCCCTGACGATCATCGTAAGCGAGTCGGTCTGACGTGGTGAAGGTTGAGAAAATACCACCAATATGGACGCTAACGCCTGGCTACTACGCCGCTTCGTACCCTTAGACTGCGCCGGAGCATACGAGGTATCCATTAGACATATCAAATATGGAGCTCCGACGTTGACTCATCACGGGAGGTCAGCGAACGCTGATAAGCAGTAAATGAAAGTAGTGCTATGTATGTAATACAGATCGACGATTCTTGGTCTTTCCCTCCGGAGCTATACGACGCCAGATGGATGAGTAAAGCCGTACAGTACGGCGTATGACGCCCCCCGGCGAGCACACACACTTACAACGTACACGCGAAGGCCGCTCGCACGGCCCATCGCCCAGTCTATCGACGTGGGCCGAGTAGTAACGTCACCACGGGGCGACCTCAGAGGCATGAATCAGGGAAGGTTTCTCGGTGCCCCATCTTGTGGTAATCGACGTGTAAATGACTAACTTGACGTTTGCATCTTCAGCTGAGCGGATTGTGCCAGAGAGACCACTCGAATCGTTTGTGCAGGTGTTATGAATCCTGTCCGGAAGATGTACTCCGATATTGTCCGACTCTAGGCAATCTTGAATTTGATGGTAGTGCTCTCCTGGTCCCCCATCTCTGCGAAGACTTCCAGCCATTTGCAGGTCGATGGGCCCACTTTTTGAAAATCATTTACAGTCAGACCACGTCGGACAAGAAATTTCAAGTCCCCGAGAGACAGAAATCAGACCATCTGGACTTCTCTACCTTCTTCCGACGTCCCTGGCATCCACTCCGACCCACTCCGACTATACGTGGTTTTCTGAATTGATGGTCTATCGATCTGCAAGCGGCTGTCAGTGGTCTGACTGCATCGCATGGCAAGATCCTTCGAATCCAATCTGGTCCTCGATCTCGATCTGTCTCAATAAACTCTAAATGCCTCGATAATATTCAGCGACAGACCTATATCATCGAGTATTTCTGCGTCTCGCCGAGATACAAGTGCCTCCTTGAGGAAGCGAAACCCCGTGGTCGGAATGTGGACCGCGATTAAGTGCAGGAGCTTTGTTATTGAAACGGCGTGCTGTGTGAGTACCACGAGCACGACATATCGGCCAGATCGATTTCAAAGCAGGACGAACATCTAGTCCTGGTTCGCGAGGCGCGACTAGGGTTAGGAGTAATTCTGGTGGTGACAAATATGTATGACCTTCGATATCATACTGATTATAGCCTTATAATGGACCGCTGGCGTCGTCAGAGGAAACAAGTTCAACGAAATAGGATGCATTACATGGGGTTAGATAATCATTACTGAACGTTTGGCAATGCTTTGAGCCTAATCTCATTGTGAAAATCGACCGTCGAGAAGCTGACATCCTTCCCTGACAAAACGGAGGTTACTCGCGACCCTGAACCAGTACTACCGGAGACTCGGACTGAGGTGCTACGGCTTGGAGTGCCGCAAGGTCGACGCAGACAGGAATTCCGCACTGTTGCTGTTTCCGTGGCCTGAACTACATCTCCCATCCCACATGCGCAAGCAGCTGAGAATAGGATTCTGCCAATATTTCCAACTGTCGTGAGCCGACGAATGAACATATTATATTCTGAGGATGCGTAGGAGTATACATGACGAAATAAGCGAATATACATTACCGATTGTGATCGACAACACGCGCCACACCGAAGTCACATCAGCCGCAGGACGCGCCTACTCCCAGTACCGAGCGACCTTCGCTTCTTGCCCCTCATTTCCCGCGACTTCCAAGAAATCAGAGGGCCGATCTCGCTTCAGATTTCGCCGACGGTTGTTGACAGGCAAACGCTGATAAGCGCCATCCTGAGGAGGTAGCTGCTGGGGCTGGAAGGGAGTCGGCCAGCCGCCGGTGTAATCGTTCTGCGGGAAGCCCGGCATAGGTAAGTTGCCGCCGTTGTTCTGGAGTTGTTGCTGTAAGGTAGTGGCGGCGGACAGAGCGGCAGCGAAGGTCTGAGCTTCGGAGAGCTGCATGTGCAGCTCTTGGTACTTCATCTGGGTCTGCTGGCGAACATCGTTCGGAAGGGCGGAGTTGTTCAGGACAACAGACAGTTGCTTGATTTGTGCCTGTAAGGAATCGATGTATTGGGTCATGTCCATGCCGCCACCAGGTTGCTGCTGCGAATACACATCTTGCTCTAACGCCGCCGTCTCTGCATTCGCGATTGCCTATCAAACCGTCAGCGCGAAACAAGAAGGGCGGAAGAAAGAGACGCACTTGGTCCGCCACACTACTCGGCCCAGCAACATTGTGGGACGCTTCCTCAGCGGAATCCTTTTTACTCTCCTCGATGGCTTTGTCGATGTAATCCGCCACTTTCGTCCTCGTCGGCTTATCCATAACCAGCTTGTCAAGGGAAGGAATCTTCTTGCCACAATTCGGACACACGAAATCTCGTTCTAATAAATGGGTCTGGATGCATTCTTCACAGTACAGTTTACCACAGCATGGTGTCTTGACGGCATCCCGGAATAATTTGTTGTCTACCGGACATGTTAGGGATGGGTCGCTGGGCGTCCGCTCTCGAATGTCCGCTTCAGTCAGCCCTCTTCGGTGCATCACCTGCTTTTGCCAGGAGGCCCTAAAGAAAGATTGATTGCCTACTCATCAGAAGAACGAGAGCTGCTTACACGTCTGGTTGTGCAATAACGTAGCCACCTTCAGGCGTGACCATAACACCTTGCCCGCCAGCCGTTGGACCCTCCACCGCCTTCAGGAAACTACGAGGTATTCCAGTTGTGCGCTTGATACGGGGCTTGTGGTCAAAATCACGGTCATTATTCGTCGGGCAGTCCTGAATCCAATGACCTTAAAAGGTCAAGTCAGTAAACATGGGCGGGAAATGGAATATCATGCCAACCTTTCTTTCCACAACGATAGCAGACATAGCTCGGAGGCAGGGGACGATCTGGCTGATGGGACGGTGCGTGATGGGGCTTACCGCCTCGGTTAAAACCAGTACCCCGGGAATTATTGTAGACACGAGTCGCGCTATAGATATCGGAGGAGGTGCAAGACAAAGCAAAGTAATGTTTATGAGATTCACAGAACTATAATGCACAAAGAGCTCGTATAAGAGCGACACCAACTGTGACATCTTCTCCTGAGTCTCCTCCCAGTTCTGAGTTTGAGCTTGGAACATAGCAGCCATCGCAGCAGCTTCATCATCCTTAGTGATGTTATTGGCCTTGATTCTCACCTGAATGAACGCCTAAGGACGTTAAACATCGTGAAAAGGGACATCCTTAACGTACTTGGGGCGCTTTAGGTGTAACAGGCTTTTCCTCTTCCTTTCCATCGAATCGTTTGCTTATTGAGCCTTTATGCCAACTAGAATTACCACTGAGAATGGTGCTAGACTTCGATGCGGCGTCGATTGCAGGTGCACTACTCGGAGCACCCGCCAAATACAGGGCAGCTTTACCCTTTCCAGGGCGTGAAGACGGTAGTCGCTTCACAACCACAGACGACGAACGCTGGATGATTTGTGAATCATCCTTGTACTCTGACCAGTACGGTCCATCAACACACATACCCTGACTCAGAAGACAACGCTCACCATCACCAGACGACGCATCATAAACAAACAGGTCAAAGTCATTGGCCTTACCCAGATTGTTCTGAAGGATAATCTCTCTCTTCAAGTCAAAAACAGATATCCCTGTGCCGTCGAAGGACACCCTAGATTCATTCTTTTGCGACTTGAACTTGTAGTAAACAGACGATGCCATTACGACAGAAATGGAATGGAAAACAAAACCCTTAAAGTGTACAGCAGACAGAAACTGGATGCCTCCCTCAACAGAGCAGACCCAAAGTGGTATTTCGACGGAGACGAGCGGTCGCGAGGGTGCAGTGCGCAGAGCAAGAGAGATGGCCCTCGCTCAAATTGTGGCGCCAATAAGGCATCCAAGCGGAGTTTGAACTGACGGCCCTGCCCTCTCGAGCTCGAGTATACACTGTATACGTACTTAGGATTTTATTCCCAACTCTCGCAGGAAGCAGACGTGCGGGAGTCAATTGCGCATCAATCAGCTAAGGGAGCAAAGTGAATGTACGAGAGTGATGGGTAATAATAGTAGGAGCAACGACTATGTATGCGACAATCCAGGCAGGAATCAATAGTAGACAATACACTGTCCGGGAATTAACTGGAAACGACGATAAGTAGAGGCCTATGCAATGGGAGTTAAGAATCAAACTAAGGACCGCGATTGGGAAAGATATATGACGCGGCCTGCATAGGAAATTATTGTACAACACATCCACCATTTGATGACTTCGAGTCGCGGTCGCGCCTCCTGTGTCGCTTGGTGCCAGTGGAGATGTCTCCGGGGATCCGATTCGATGAGGCTTCTCCAATCTCCGATACGTCGGACAGGGCGCTGACCTTGGAAGCTCTTTGTGACTCCGAGCCTCCAGAGCTAGAAAATGGGCCATCCGAACCACGGCCGGTCTCCGTCTCACTTCCTGAGGCGACTGAATTCCTTCCTGCAGTCTTGAAGCTCTCAGTTGTAGTCAGGGCACTTCGCATACTCGCGGTGTTTGGTGTCGTGCTGTTGCTCGAGATAGACCGAGGTCTATCCTTCCCCTCTCTGTTCCGCTTGAGCACCGAGTGCTTCTTGCGAAGAGGTTTCTCCACAGGAGGAGGCATGGGAGGCGGTGAAGACGGGGGTATGGGCAAGGACGTAGCCGAATGAGAGTCGACGGTTTCAGCGGATAAAGAAGATCGAGAGCGCTTAAAAACTCCTCCCATCATCTTGAAGGCGGTAGGAGGGTGGGGCGTCACAACCAGAGGAGATTGCAACGGCGGTGAATCGATACTAGTCCTGGGAGAAGATAAGACGCCTACTTCGGACGAAGGGCTACTGCCTGGAATTTGCGCGGCAGCAATGGCCTCCATAGCACTGGTATATGCGCTCCCTGGTACACCTTTCTCCGCGTACTGGGCAAAAAGAAGCAATTGAGAGCGAAGGTCGCAAGTGGGAGGTGCGTTGGCGGCACACTTTGAGTGGGCAATCAAGCTGCACTGCTCGCACAATACCGCGTGTTTCTTCACCCCTTGCAGACACACTCGGCACATCATAGCTAACGAGATACGTTCGATTAGACAGGACGAGGGGAATATAGGTTAGATACTTACATTTACTGAACGTGGTCTTCACAAAGGAGTGTTCACGAGGGCCCATACCATCGGAGTCGTGAGAAATGGGGGTAGAAGGGGTATTCGACAAACGACGTTTAGGCGGCGATCCTGCAAGGGTATCGTCAGGGCTGGAGAAGAACTCCCCAGACGTCGGCGAAGGTTTGGGTATGTCAACACCAGCGAGGTATCGTTGGACGGCCTCCGATGACTGCTTGTGCATATCAGCACTAACACGACGCAAGAATGGTATGCTATCCTGAGGACGCAGTTCCTACATTTTGCATGTCAGATAAAGTCGTAGTGGGATAGGTCGTGGTTCTCACCTTGGCACCTATCCAGTTCTTCTTGAGCCATTCATGCTCACAGAGCATTTCCGCACTAGGCCGCATGGCAGGATCTTTATGGAAGCACTGCGTCAAGAAGTCCTTCAGGAGATCAGAGCATCCCTCAGGTAACGGAGGCGCGTCATCCTCGACAATCCGGAACATGACTACAATGCGACTTCATTAGTCTCATCCACATATGCATCCGTTCAACCATAACTTACCCGTCATACTGTTGGCAATATCAGCGTAAGGTGGACGACCGGTCAGAAGCTCGATCACGGTGCATGCCAATGACCAGATATCCGACTTCGGGGAGGCACCCTTCAGTTCGATAACCTCAGGAGCCATCCAATTCGGCGTGCCGGCTACGTCTTTCATCTCGCGTTCCATTGCCCGAAGGTTGAGAGAGACACCGAAGTCTGATAACTTAACATTTCCATTCTTTGTCGTGAGGATATTTGCAGCCTTGAGGTCGCAATGCACTACGTCGTTCTGATGCAGGTAATCGAGGCCTTCCAGGATCTTTACTACGTAAGTGGCGACAAGACGTTCGTTCAGTTTACCGAATGCTTTGATGGTTTGCCCGAGAGATCCGTTCTCAGCATATCTATTCGCTAGATCAGCTTTGCGTCATACGAGACCGGGGAAAGACGTACTCAAGGACAATGCTTAACGTGTCGGCATCTCTAGCCATGCCTTCATATTTAACAATGCTTGGGTGTGACAGACTCTTCAGGAGGTCAACTTCACCCATGAGTTGCGAGATCTCGTCTTCCTTCAAACCTTCGAGCCGTATGCGCTTGACGGCAACCATTTGACCGGTGTTGAGGTTCAGAGCGCGGTAGACAGAGCCGAACTGCCCTCGACCTATGCAGTTGCCCAGTTGCTACAAGGAGGACGTAAGTTGAATGGATAGTACTGCAGCAGACTGTATACGTACGAATTGAGTAGAAGCTTTGCCATCCTCTCGGACGATTAGCGTCTCCCTGACAGCACTCCCGTCCATGGAGTTTCGGGACATCAGGTCACTGGCACTAGCATTGCTGGATACGACCCCCAAGTTCACCATACTCTCAAAACGAGTTCTGCCTGGCTTCGCGCCCATGTCATCATAAGAGTTGGGTCGAGGTCGCCGCCGGGAGCTGGATCCCTCGATTTCGCTTTGGAAGCGTCCTCTGGGTTGACGCGGCTTGTCCTCAGCGGGAGAGGTCGGCCGGCGAGAGACGTCGGCGGAGGATCCCTGGCCAGTTCCAAGATGTTCGCCAGACACAGTGCGCGGGAAGGGCACACGCGGGTCGGCATCCGTTGGCGAGCGAGGCTCATCCAGTCGGGGTACATACATCCCATTGCGGTTCGCTCCTGTCTTTGTGCTGCTCCGACGAAGCATCACCCGAGGTGACCCAGAAGATAAACCGCTGTCAGGACTTGAGTCTCGGCGCAGTAGGTTTTCCTTCGGCAACAGCACCGGCGCATCAATACTATGACGAGGTCGATGCGTCGGACGACGGGGTGCGAATTGAGGCAAAGAGTCCACACTCTCATTCTGCCGCGATGCCCCAACATATGCCAGCTTCCTAGGCGGTGAGATGGAAATCGGACTGGTAGCGCCAGACCTATCGTCCAGCTCCGATGTCGGTGACCTCGCTGACGACCGCGTAGGACTCGCAGGAGAGTGGAACGCATCCATGAAATCGTCTGGCCACTTCCCTTTGCCCAGTCGAATCTGAGGAGTCCTTGGCAGACGCTCCTCAACAGCATCGTCTGTTCTCCGCGACGTGCTCTTCGACCGGTCACTCTTCCTTCCTGAGCTGGCGCTTGCCTCCTCCGCCTCTTCCACGACCCTGGACAGGTCAATCACGGCCACCTCGCTTGGTCTCCGCTCCCGCTTGCCATTAGACTCAGTACGTTTGCGAACCGTATTGTCTTCTGCCAATGCAGCAGCGATGCCACTGGCTTCCGATCTGGTGAAGGACGGAGGATCGGAAGGGATAAAGGACGTTGCCTCCGTGGTGACAGTCCTGATAGTGCCGAACTTATTCTGCCCACTACTATTGCTCCTGTTGACCTCCAAGAGACTCGAGAAGGCAGTAGTGTCTGAGACGGCACTCGAGGCCAGAGACTGTCGAGTCGCGGCCATCGAATCTGCCAGAGAAGCTTGAATCGAATCGCCACCAATGGACGCCCGAGTCGAATCTGCCACCGAGATCCGTTCGGGACTGGCCCCATTCCTGGCATCGGTAGGTTTCGAATACGAACGTGCGCGTAGGGGAGAACGAGGGGGAGGGGAGAGGATTGGGGGGACCTCATCGCGTTCACTACTTGCCCCAGGACTACTTCGCCCATGATTCATCGCAGTGCCTCCACGCTCGGTCCTACCGCTCCCAGAACCTGACCCACTCTCGGGGCTATCGGAACGTACAGTAGGCAATGGTGTCGGCGGACTCCATCTTTTCTTGCCCATAGGGGACCCGGGACCAGTAGGCGAAGTTGACCGTTGAGCCTGAGCCAAACTTAGATTAGGGGAAGATGCCGCCAAGTGCGAACTGGCACCTTGACCATAGGGCCCCGAATGAGAAGTCGATGAACTTTGCTTTCTTGAAGAGAGTGCTTCTCTGTCGCCACCAGATAGGAACTTCGCGCGGTCAGCAGGAGGGAACTCGGCGACCCTTAGGAGCGCGATAACAGTGCGAGCAACGCGCGCCAGAGATTCCGAGTCTCCGTTGATCAGGTCGTCTCTCTGGAAGAGCTCGTCTGCAGCAACTCCGAATTGGGCACAGGCCGCCAGGAACTTTGTGACATTGGACGTCCGCACAAATCCGTCCTCTCGAGGGTCTGGTCGGATGACGGGATTGGATCTGAGTTTATTCACGAGTCTGGAGAGAAAACGTGATCAGAGCGCGAGTTTCGTGGCACAGAGGACAACGTACTGGCAAAGAACATATCCATCCCTTAATGCCTCGCTGAACAATCTCCGTTCCCGCTCCTCGCCACTAGTGCTCAACCCACTCGATGACATTGGACCGAATAGGCTAGATTGACTGACGTTTGCGCCACTCTTCCCCCATACGCGTTCCAGCCTCGCCAGAGCTCTCAACCGCACCTCGACTTCTTCCCAATCCTTCGCAATTCCAATTTTGCTATGATGGACAGGGGGTCTCGCCATCTCTTTGCATAATAGCGACGACGCGTTACGAATGAGCTCCCGATGCTCTGGATTCGATGGAGAAGAGAGTGACGTGGTAGACGCATTGTAACCGCGGTTGTGATTTGCATACGTCGGCGAGACCGCTCGAGGTCGTAACTGAGTTGATGGAGAATCAGATCGGGAGGCTGAAGGGGAATGAGTCGGTCGAAAGGGGCGACTTGCGTCCAATGAGGGTCTTCGATTTGCGTCGAAAGACGGTCGTCTGCCAGTCGTTGGGGAGGTGGGTGGGTTAAGGGGAAGATGAGACGTCGAAGCAGATACTAACCCTCGCTGTGTCGGAGTCACGACGCGCCGAGATGTTGGCGAACGAGGAGGACTGATGGGGATTGGAGAGATAGACCGCTCGTTGAGGGGTAAATGGCTTGCACTAGCTGAAGCCTTCCGCGCCGTGAGAATAGGTGGTGGTCGTGAAGACGAACCGGGTGTTGGGGTTTCAGGAGGGCTGATGGGCTCACGAGTACGTCTTGTCGGAGTATCAGGGCCAGGGAGGGTGACGGTAGAAGGGGAGGACGGAAGTAAAGGAGCTGGCCGATGCTTAGGTGCCCGGTGGTCGCGAGACGAGTCTTTCACGGCACTGCTAGAACTAGCATTTCCGTTCACTCGAGACGAGTCCCGACGGGGAGCTAATGGCGTAGGGCCGCTGATGTCCCTCGAGCTCGTACTGGGCTGTAGGCTCGACCGTTTCGAGCGGTCCCGGGAGGGCTTTGGGAGGGGCGACGGCTGTGCCGATAAGTAGACGGCGGGGGAGGACATGGATGCCTGTCGGAGGGATGGTGGCTGGAAAGGTGTTAAGCCTGGGACTCGATCTTCACGGTCGTCATCCAAGTCGGTTACCCTCGGCGCATTCCCTTCCCTCGGTTTGCCGGGAATAGGAGGTGTTGCGGCAGGGGTATCGGACCGATCAGTCGAAACTTTACCGGGTTTACGGAATCCGACTTGCGACTGTAGTCTCCTGAGCATCTTCGACTTCTCCCTCTCCTTCTCCTTCGGTGCGCTACTGCTTTCGCTGGCTTCCTTCCCTTTGCCCTTGTCTGCCTTGGCCATAATTCTCGCGAATTCATCGTCCACCGGCGGCGGCGACTTGGCCTTGGACTTTGTGGCATTGCGGATGCTCTGCTCTAATGAGGAGCGCAACCGCTTGAACGATTTGGGGGAGGGCTCAGGTACCTCCGGAGTGAATGTACGGGATCCGGAGGCCTGAGCATGGCCTAAACGAGATGGCGAGGCCGTCGCAGCGTCTACACCGCGAGGAGACATGGGGAGCGGGTTGGATACAGGGTTTGGACGGATGTTGGGTAGAACAGCTGCGGCCATGTGTGAGTTGCGTGCAGAAAGCTGGCTCCAGACCTATCGATCAATGAAGGACACACTAGGCCAAACGCGCAACGGTATACGGGACGCTGGACGCTAATGGAGCGGTCAATCCGAGACAATGGCCACTGCAATGCGCTGACTGTCGAGAACAACGCTGTGCTGTGCGGACCCTGCGTGCACTGATTCTAACAAAGAGCAGGTCAGTATTTGTCGACTCCGGCTACGGTCAGGTAGGTATACAGTGCACGCTCGCAGTCTCAATAAGCAAGGCAGGCCAAAACACCGCACACGAAGTGAGTCCGGAACGTACCAAAGAGGCTCAGTAGAACCACTCCCGCTTGCATTCAATTAAAGTTTCGCAACCTTCGTTTGACTGATACAGTAAGGAGCGGCTGGCCAGGTAAAGGCGAGGAAGTAAAGGAAACGAAGGGGTGCGATATAGACCTGCGCGATGCAGTGATGCGACACACTGACAGGGAAGATCTCTCGGGCAGAAAGACAGTGAACAGACGCGTGAAACCTATAGCCGCAACGTTGTCGGAAGAGAAGAAGGAGGGCGACAGAAAAGCTGGGCTCAGCGCCGGCTCGGGAAACAAAGCCAGAGCGTTTGGTAGCTGTCGCCGGCGGCGGGGACAGCAGAGGCGGGCAACCTCGAGGCCTGAACACAACGATGGTAACGGTCGGCGCCACGGCAATAATCCTCACGCGCGCGCGAACGCGAAGCCGCGGCAGCAGACGCTTCCAAATAAAGTGATTCGGCCCTTCATTGCTGCAATGTGAATCACGCTAGTCCTCCTTTGTAGTCTATTAGAAATCCTATGCTTGCACTCCTCTGCAGCCTCGTACAGGAGCTTGTGCGTCCAGCAGCCCACGGAACGGTTTCCACCCTATGCGGCTCCGACTCTCAGCGCTATCCTGGTCCAGCCGTCAGGCCGCCATCTTTCTTACCTTGCACAAGGTAATTTCAGATGCTCGTCACAGGAACCGGCGCCCCCGACGACTGCCGCACAACCCAGTTCCGAGCGTTTGACATGCCTTGACATCGGTCATGCGGCGCTGGGTCCACAGCACCTAAAACAAAGGTCGCTGTGAGATCATACAACGCAAAGCAGACCCCTTTTGTCAGATTAAACATATACTGACGCCTGCAATGACGTATTTCTTGTTTCGTGTCCGGCATTTGTTGTTATCAAAGCTTGTCAATCACCGTCCGGATGCTTGTGTGCTCTTCATATATCATCAACGTCCGGCCAGGGCATCAGTGCATGACGCGGACGCGCCGTACGGTCCGTCCGAGTGTGGAAGCATCGGGCTTGCAGTCATACGGAAGCGACAGGCGCATCTCCCGCCACTTCGCTCCTCTTCGCGCTGAACCATGAGGGTCGGCCACGACTGGCCGACCTCGCAGGATTCTGCTCTAGTTTGAGCCTTATTCATCGTGATTGGACCCCACAGTTCTTCGAAGCGCCGTCAAAGATAAACGACGCATCGAAGAACTCCGAGCATCCCGAATCACGCGGAAGTAATTCCCAGCCCATCCCGAGGGTTAGCTGCCATCTTTCGCAAGTGAGATCCTGAGGCGGGATCGGAAGCTGCGGTTAGAATTGCCCCGCCTTCAGACTTGGAGGGGGGTAATTTGGATCGTAGTATCCTGGGAACGTACGTACCCGCGGTTGTCAGTGCATATTCCCTTACCGTGACTTTTGCACGCGATAGTACCCTGAGCCATGGAAGTATACTGACAGTCGGGCAGGGATCGCACCACGGCAAGTGATATTGGGAAGTCCTGATGTGGGATATACTCGCCTGCTCAGGGGACTACAAATCGCCGACATCGTTCGCTCCAGCTATCGCTCCAGCTACTTACTCCTGTGCCGACCCACGAGATTCACCGCCAATGTGCCGAAGGGAGTAAAACTGGCACAGAAGCGGTGGAACCGGCAAGGAACCAGGTAGGATTGCGGCGAGAAGCTATACCGAGGTGAAATTCCAGTAGATAAGTCGCATATATGAGCCTTATGCCTGAGTTATAAAAGGAGACGCGACGGGATCAGGACAAGACATTGCAAAAACCAGGTATACCCTAGGAAAGACCAGACCGCGTGTTTGATCTGAACAAACCAGAGAAACATTACTCGGCTCAGGCTCGACCGTACATTGCAAGAGCCTTGTGGGGCAGAAAGAATCGGCAGAAGGAAGAGCTGTTAGCTAGGAGGCCTGGATACGTAGACAGCCCTCCAGAGCATAGACATGTGCAGGAGGTGGACTTGACGTCGAAGTCGGACGCCACTTCAGCCACAATCCCAAACAATCGGTGGCGTGGTGGCGGAGTCCGAAGTTTGTTTCCTGTCGACTGCGCTCTGACTCCACGCCTGTCGATTACTCGTTCCCCGACGACGCGAGTGCTTTATATCACACTAGCCCCGTACGATGCCCGTGCGTTTACCGCGCAAGGCGGATCTGTCGACACCGGCGAAGAAAGGTCGTACTCAGGATGACACAGATACCGAGAAAGAGAACACGAAAGCACCCAAGGGCAAGGTTAAGAATGCGCGGCCCAAGAAAGTGGTCAATGGGAAGGGAAAGCGAGCGTATTGTACGTGCAGGGGACCAGACGATGGTACACCCATGGTGGCATGCGCGGAATGCGATGAATGGTCAGTATTCTGTGAGGAATTACATGGACGATATTCTTATCGGTAATGGAGGTACCATTTCCGCTGTGTCGACCTTGACGAGAGGGATGCGGAGGATCTTGGTATGTCCCGTGTTGCCGGTTTCTATTGCCAAGTCGCCTACTGACCGTCCTTATCCTCACTAGCCGTTTATATATGCCCTTCATGTCAACAGAGAACTGGCCGGAGATCAGTCAGTGAGTGTCTTGTATTCCTTCTCACTACCTACACAACGTATCATTCTTTCCCTTCTGCCACCCCTATGTATATCTACGAACAATGTAGTATCTGTTTGTTCTTCAGTCCGTCGCTTGCCAGTGCCACTCGAATCGGCTCGCCCAGGGTAGTGTCGGTCGCATCTCATGGCACTACCATATTGCTATGTACCCTTCTGGGTAGGCGCTGCCGCATCTACCAACGGACCGCATATGCATTGTTCTCAATTTGAGTCCTAGCTCGCGGTCCATTCATATATTGCCTCATGTGAGACTCAAGGTCTACGACGTTTGCGGTGGCAGTACGTACACTGAGTGCAAGTCGAGGCCTGAGCCACACATGAAGACGAGGCGTTTGCGGCGCTCACAATGTCGGCCATTCCTATCTTACATCTTCCTGATCCCTGAGCAGTAGCTGACCTGCGTATTATTGATTTTGTAGTGGAATGGGAGGGCTCCGAAGCGCTGGAAGAGGCCAAAGTCCAGGAATCACCTACAGTTCAGTCAAAGAAGAAACGCACGCGATCCCGGCCTCCCGAAGATGACTCAGAACCATCAGAGAAGGAGGCTTCAGACTTCGAGAGCGATGGCAGCGGTGACGACGAGTATGTGGAGGATGTAGGACGAAGAGGTTCCAAAGGCAACGCGAAGAAGGTATGTGGCGTCAGTCACCTATGCAGCGTCCTCCTAACCGAGCTTACAGCGAGTTGTCCACATCTCTTCCGAGTCGGAATCCGGCGATGAACATAACCATGTCCGGTCGCGTCGTCGCGCGAGCACGGTGTCTGGTCGCAGGAAATCAGCGTCGCCACATCCCAGTGCACATCTGAAACGGAAGGGCTCAAGCGCCGTCCAGTCCCCGGCACCCAAACGCAAAAAGTCCGACAACTCCAATGCGGAAGATCCTGCAAGAAAGTACTGTCTTGGGAAATATGAGGAGATGTTCTGTCAAATCTTCGCGAAGTTTCCCCACTTGCCGAATGATGAGGATGGTAATCACGACGTAGAGAAGGACCCCCAGGAGCTGACACCCGAAGAAAAAGCGCTTGTGGAAGACAAAGCGAAGCAGTTCGCTGCTGAGCTAGAGCGGTGCATTTTCGATACCTATGCTGAACCTGGACATCAGGGAAGGCCTGTAGCGGGAGCAAAGTACAAGTATGTGCTTTGCTAATACCCGAAATGTATGCGTGCTAATGCGGGCTCATAGGGAGCGTTTCCGGATGCTGACCTTTAATTTGAGCAAACCTGACCGTGTCACTCTCCACAAAAACATCGCATCTTCGCGCATTACTCCCAAAGACTTATCGCTTATGTCTTCTACTGACCTTGCGAACGAGGAATTGAAGCAGTCCATAAAGATAGCTGAACAGGAGGCATTGGAGCACTCGATTTTGCAGAAGACGTCGGCACCGCGTGCCAAGATCACGCATAAGGGTTTACAGGATATCGAGGATGTGCATGGTGAGACGACGAGCCAACGTATAGAGCGGGAACGCGCGAGAGAGCAGTTGGAGGAGGAGAAGAGGGAACGGGAGAGGTTGGCCCGTCTTAAGGCAGCTCAGAGGGGATCTGTACCGCCTGAGTCCCCCGTTACGCCTCAGTCGGCAAGTTGGGGTGGGCCTCCGCCTGTGCCTCAGCATGCCATGCATGGCGAGCCCTCGACACACTTCGGCTCTATGAGGCCCCCAGCGAATCCGCTATTTATCCCGACTCCGTCTGAGATGAATACGCCTGTCGTGAACGAGCTAAATCTGGCCGATCTCATTAACTTGGATGAAGAAACGTCGTCTCCTACTAATGAGCCTCCTCCGACGCCCTTCGAAGCGGACTTATCTCTGGTTTCAAGTGAAACTAAGGTCGACGGACAACCGGAGCATGAAGCATCTCCCGTGCAACCTACCGGTATCTCTCCTTTTGCTGCCGGTGTTTCGCGTCCGGACCCTACAGCGCGTACCTCCTTCGACTTGAATTCCTTCTGGTCTTCCGGTGATCAAGAGAAACCCCATACACCGCCGAGGACGCCCACACCGCCGCCAGCGGCTCAGGATGACCAGAGAGATATCAACATGGAGGCGGCCGAAGGCCAGGGTGCTGAAGATGAAGACTTCGACATGTTCCTTGAGCGGGATGATGAAGCATCTAAGGGAGAATCGAACAATTTTCAACCTAATATTCTTCCTATAGAGAAACAGCCGCAAGTCTTCACTGGAGCTGTGAGTACCCCCTCGATCCCTCGTGTAAGTCTTGTATCTAATTATTATGCAGCTGTCGATGCCTATAGATGATGTTGTACCTCAAAACACACCGGTGGTGGCGTACCAAATGGGTGGTCGGTCCATACCGTCTACATCACCACTGTGGCGAACCTTGTTCCCGTCATCGGAACTCAGGATTGACGGACGGGTAGCCGTAGACAAGAGTTCACAGTTCTTGCTTCAAATGAGGATGAACGCCACGAAGGAACTGATCGCGGTGGCTTTTGCACCCATCGCAGGAACAGAGCACCTGTTACGGAAGCTTTCCGATTACCTCAGGACCAAGAAGTAAGTTGAGTCATGCACCTGGTACCTCTTATCCTGATCATGCTTGCGTAGTCGTCATGGTCTCATCTTCCCATGGGGCCATCATCCCAAGGACCACCATCCAGGCCGGGAACTATATATTATCCCGCTTTTGGCTACGGAACCCATACCTGAATATATGGAACTCTTGGATGAATTGCGTCTACCTAAATTACGCGACGCCGATTACCTCGTCGGTATCTGGGTCTTGAACAAGGGCAAACTGGCTCCTCCCCCAACTCCACAAGCCGCACCTGTACCACCTCAGCAAGCCAGTGCGCAACCTGTACAACCATCAAGTTCGTTCCAGCCTCCAGCTGGGTCCCCGCCCAATAACGTTTCTCTGCCTGTGCCTATATCCGCACCCGCACCCGCACTCGCACCCGCTGTTCCTTCAGTTACTCCAGTGCCCGCAGTGCCTTCCAATCCCGTCTCGCCTCCCATCGTCAATCCGTCCGCTGTCGCCGCTGAACTCGCGACATTGACACCCGAGCAAATTCAGCTTATGCTACAAACTCTCAGTACATCAGGCTTGGTTCCACCGGTCAACGTTCCGCTGGCCCCGCCATCAGTCCCTGTCCAACGACCTATCCCCTCCCTGACATCGCAGTCGCCACCCTGGCCTGTTGCTCCCCCAGGTCCCGGATACGTGTCTGGATATCCCCAGAACTCGCCTTCAGGTTCTCAGCCGCCGCGTCATTATTCCCAGCCATCTTACGACCGTAGCCATGACAGGGAGCGTGACTCTCGAGGAGGGCCGCCCTGGGACAGGGATGAGCGTGGATGGCGCGGGGGCCCTAGAGGCCGCGGTCGAAGCCGAGGTGGACGCGGTCGAGGAAGAGAAGGCAGGGATAGAGAGCATGATCGGCACGGCAGGCCTCAGGATACAGGGTGGCCAAGACGTGGTCGTGGAGGCCCGCGGTAAAGTATTGCACGAAGTCTCTTGGATAGTGTTCTATTTGTCTTCTCTATTGCTCTCCATGTATGAACTCTACTGTATCAGTACTGTGCATTAGCTAGTGTCCGTATGATATGACACATATGAGATGAGCAGGAGAAATGCGATTGTAGTGGATTTCGTTTCGTGCAATATAATGTCATTTAGAACCAAGGTTCTGCGTGAGTTGCATAAGCAATTCTTCAATCCTGCGTTGCCGCTCCTCCATGAGATCAAAACGCTTCATCAACTCTCCTGATCCGGGGCCCCCACGGGAAGGAGATCCTTCATCCTCCTCTACATGCGAGGCCGTCTCCGGTCGACCCTCTCCCTGTCCAGGGCTTTCTGACAGAGGTTGACTCAACAAGGAGCCGTGACTACGGGCATCAGAAGTCACTGAAGGGAACTTCTTGGGACTCGATTGCATAGGGTTAAGGTGATAGGGATCGGTGGTGCTCCTTCGGTGTACCGAGGTAAGCCGTCTGCGAGTAGCGGGACCGAAACTGATCATATGTGTTGGCCCGGGGGCGTTGGATGGTGATTCTCGAGCTTCCTCGGGTATATCATCGTCTACGACCAAGGGCTGGAATATCTGGGCGAGAGGACTTGTGAAGCTCTGCGCTGCTTCCGCACCACGGGCCATCGCCGAGTTGACACGCTGCCTGACGGGTACATGGCCTCCTCCCCCAGAGGCAGATGGTTGACCATTTGAAATCTGTTGGCTCGAGGCTTTCGGTGGAATCAGAGGGGCAAATGAGGGACGCCGCCGCGAAGCAGCGGAGAGCCGTCGCTCAGAAGGGCGTCTGGGGCCTTGCTGGCCAGAAAGGAAAGGATCGTCGTAGTCCTGTGTGTCCAGCGCACTGTCACCCATCTCATCCTCGATTTCGAATATCTAGCAGGGAGTCTAATCAAAACCCATAGCTGCCAAACTCCGAACGAGAAGCAACCTACAGCATCTATACTTGAATCTGCGCCAGCAAGGCCCTCAAAGAAAGCTAGGAGGGGTGAAATTTCCATAAGTCTCCGTGAGCCGTGAGATCGAGAAAAGAGCTTACTGAGACGTTTCAATTGCCTTGGCAGGGTATCGAATACTTTCTCCGCGGCGGCACTGACTGTATCGTAGAAGCTGAGGGTGCCGGCCGTTTTGGCCTGGCGTTCGTACCAAGCGATCAAGAGGAGTATCGGAAAGGAAGTCAACCTAGCACGGAACGCGTGAATTTAGTATGGGAATCATCTTGGGATAACCTAAGGCCGGCTACCTGATCATGAATACGTTGACCTATACGGTGTGAGCTGCGCTTGGTGACGTCAAGGGATTCTCTATGGTGAAACTCACCTTGTGGAACCACCGAGGAGACAAAACGTAACTGAGAGGGAACATTATGCACAGTGCGACAAGGTTTATAGGTGGTAAATATGAGAACAATGGATCAGCCTTGACACTGCGAGCAGGAAGTCAATAGGGAATGAGTGACAAGAGGAGGACGATGTACCCTTCTATGGTGGTCACAGCTCGTCTAAACATGGCTTCCGCTTGGGCGTCTTCACTTATGGTCGAGAACGTATGTGAGAGTATCTGAAATAGAGGTTGATGCAGGATGCCTCCCTAGCACTCTGTTTACGTACAGAAACCAAAACTGGGAGAATAAACGTGAGCCGTAATAAGACAAGGTCTGAAGTGAACAACGCTTACCCGTGAGCAGTAGGGTATTGCTCAAGCATGCGTATGCAATCATCATGATCGGCCCAAATATTGGATGGAATTGAGCTGGAACGCGACAACGCAGAAATTCAGAAAAACACAGGATGCTTAGGGCAAACGCCACGTACATGCTTTGTCGAAACCACTTGCGTCCAGTCCAAACCAGAGATCCGCCATCCACCACGCGATCTGCCTACATTCATTAGGTGAATAACCAAGGAATCTATGGAGGAAACACTGGCATTCTTACCCAGCAGAGTAACTAAGACAACGCGGAGGTCAGTGAGATTCGGTGGAAAGGCTAGATGCTTACTCACCCAGCAGAGTTTCTGCTCAGTCTGATATAGGAGTGGTCAACGTTAGCTTCTCGTAATATTGACTCAACTCACGTCCATAACGCATACAAAAATCCAGCGAAACAGAATGCAGCGATAAACATCAAAATAACAAACTGCACGAGCATAGCTCGGACGGATAGGACCATGAGGTTATTCCGCAGCGTAACAAATACGAGCCTATTAGGACAATCATCACTCTGAGCTGAACCCGCACAGGTAGACAACCGACAAACCTTGGGAACATCAGGACTGCGATTACAGCTAACAGGTCTATGCCCGTAGAACGTGCCCAGAAGTCTGGAGTGCGGTTGTGAGTGTCCGTTTCAGACAACACTCAGACCAACGCACTGTCGTGGTACACTCCGTAGAGCCTCAAAAATGCGTACGTGCAGTATACAGTCACTGAAACCAGTAAGTCAATCACGAAGTGGAAATAACCCATTACTGACTAACCGAATGCTAGATCGAAACCATTCTTCATGTATATATTAGTAGCGCGTCTTGACGTTTCATGGTAGGCGCCTTTCACTCACCCAAGTGCCCGTGAAATACACTGTACCCAGCGTCATAAACATCGTATGTTAAAGACGAAGCAAATCGTGAAACTGACCTCTGATGCCATGCTCTTGCATAGCTGCCACCTTCTCCAAGGCAAACCCTAACGCATAGACCATGAACGCGCCTTCAGCAATATTGACACGATCTCGTTGGTTAAGCTCAAGCGCAAAGACGAAAAGGATGAACAGAAGAAGGAAACTGCGAATACGCTCAACGAATAGCAATCAAATTATTACCAGTGGAAGACCTACTCCAGATATTCCAACACCATCCGAATAGCCGGCACTTTCAGACTATCGCAATGTCATACGAGTTGCAGTGGCAAGTGTTTGACGACTTACCGATAATGATCCAATAATGGGGCTTTGTGGGGGTCATAGAAATGTATCGGATTGCGTTTGTACGTCTGTAGCGCGGTTAACATGGGCTAGGGTGTGCTGAGAAGGTTGCCGTGCATACATCTGACAGTATAGAATGGTTGCTTTCGGCTTGATACACACATTTACCACTAAATTCGCGTCCTTAACTGTCAATGTACGACAGCTCGATGTCATAACGCACATCCAAATAGCATTGATAACTTTCTGGCAAGCGGAGCTCTTGATGAACCGCTTCGCCTTGCTGATGATAGCCATCTCGATAGCATTTCCGACGCGGTCCTCGAGCTCATCGCGCTCTTCCCTGGCCTGTGTAATCACATCTGGATCAGCACCGTTGTAGACAGGCCAGCTAGTGGTGGTAACAAGGGCGAGTTCGAGCAAGCTGTGGGCGTGCGCATTGAGCGCACGGATGGCCAGGATCTCGCAGAGCGCTGCGCGAGACCGCGAGAGCTGCGAAGTGGTCAGGCTTTGATCCCGGAGGAAGTGGACACGGTTTATCAAGAAGCAGAAGACGATGGACATGTTTCCTTGTCGCTGGAAGGCGTTATACTTGTCTTCGAGAGGTCGAACAAGGGTATAGGTAAGGTCTGGGGCCGTGAGCTATCCTGTATATTAAGAAAGAGTTCTATTTACTAGTCTGAAGAACGTACAGCGTCGTAAGTCAAAGGCGTATCTAAATCCACAGTGGGTAAGTCGCATGATTGTGAACGTAACCCAACACTCACCGATGAAGTGCTATAGCAGAAACCCCATGTCCGCATAAGTAACACACTATGTTCGACAGAATAGCGAAAGGACTACCATAACATCCTATTAACGCTTCAGTACCACATTCGGCAAGAAGAAAGCACCAAACCCACCGATTTAATCATATGAATTATGGGATAGACCGCTGTCTGCTCAATCTCCTCAGCACGCAGCAGAGGCTGCTGTTCCCTTTGCGCCTCCGACATCCTTTGCGACGCCGAGCTCGCTGTATTCCCAGTCAGAGTACGTGTGCTGCCTAGCAATGCCTGGATTTCGCGTCGAAGTCGGTAATGCACAAGGATCAGCCGGTCGCATTTAGCGCCCAAGGCTCGCACCGCTTCGTATAAATACGGACCAACAACGCGTACATAGATGAGATCACGCGACGCGCCGCCGGACGGGCCTTGCTTCGCAGCCACGATGTCCGACACAAAGCACACAACAACGCCTGAGGCCGCCGCTGCCGCTGCAGCAGATATTGTTAGGAAAGCGAAGAGGGAGGGGACTCTCAGGTATGTCTAATGTCTACATATGCGCAAAGGAGAGAGTTAAAAGGCGCGCTTACTGTAGCAAGCTGACTCCGAGGCTAATACGCCGAGAGGTCGAGCAGCAACTTGGAGCGGCGGAAGGAGAGTTCGATGCTAAGGAGTATAAGAAGGCCATTACTGGGGCCATTGCGTCCGCCAAGGTACCCTGGTCCACATATCGGGGGTGAGGCAGCCTAACGTTTTGTCATAGGATGAGCCGGAGGAAGACGTTAAGCCACAAAAATCGAGCAAGGTGAGCCATGCGCACACGTGCACGGGTCTTGCAGCTTATCATCATATGCCATCGCAAGAAACAAGTAACCCCTGGGGACAACACGACCCCTCCACAGAAAGCTGGGACACACAAGTCCAAATCAGTGATAGAATCAGAGGAGGAAGAGGACGAGGCGCCGAAGAAGTCTAGACCCAAGCAACCCACCTCTGCTGTATGTTCTCATTCCTTGTCGGCGTTGCGTCTCCCCAATTGCAGTTATTGTCAGCCCGTTGTGCAGTCTTCAGAAGATGAGGCAGAGCAGACTGCCTCCGCAGAAAAACCACCACCCGAATCCAAGAAGGTAAACAGTCGTTGTCACTTCTACCATCTGTAGCTCTGACTCTGACGACTACTAGCCTAATGAGGGTAAGCCGCCCAAGAAGAAACGGAAGAAGACGCCCATAGCCTCTGAGGATGAGCGCGAACAAGCTGACACCAACCCGCGGGGAAAACCTAAGAGCAAGTCCGCCGATGCCTCCAAGGTCTTCGTCCCCGTGGGTGGAACGCCGGAGGTTGACGCTGGGGAGGTGCGTCCCTTCTGAATCACTTTTCTGGAGACATGCATTGATTCTCTAACCAGAAAAGCGACTCTGAATTGTCCGTCCTTATTGACGAACCGCCGAAGAAGAGAACGAAGAAAAAGAAGGAAGATGGGGAACCCAAGCGCGTGAGGCTGCCCCACTGTCCACTGCGAATGCGTTGCATACTAATTTTGCTCGGCACAGAGCAAGACCAAAGACTCTAAGTCATCCAAAGAAAAACTCGGGAAAACTTCCAAGACAAAATCGAGCGACAATTTCTCAAAAGACGAGGAAACGATCAAACGCCTCAAGGTATCTGTATCCCAGTCCACCCAGCTACTTTGGCCTCCCGAGCTAATCTCGTTTACTAGTCATACGTGGTGGCCTGCGGCGTGCGCAAAATATGGTCCAAAGAATTCGAAGGCCTGGACAGACCCTCGCAGCAAATCGCACGGCTGAAGGAGATCCTCGCCGGCCTGGGCATGACCGGCCGACTCAGCATGGAGCAGGCCAAGCAAATACGGGAGAAAAGGGAGCTGGAGAAAGAACTCGGTACGCGATGATGCGCTGAGGTTTGACGAAGGTTCGGCTTAACTGATCTTCCGCGCTAGAGGAAGTGCGTCAGTTTGAGGCCAAGATGCTTGCCAAGGGCACGAGGAAGCATAAGACGTCGGAGGACACGGCCGAAGAAGACGGCGAGGAAGAGGAGGAAGGGGATACGAGGAGAACGCAGAGGGTAGGTTGCGTCCCCATTGACTCTTGGTGGTGCTAACTTCTTGTCGTAGAATGCTGCCCGGCGGAGTATCATGGCCTTCTTAGGTGACGAGAGCGATGATGAGTGAGGTGGAAGATGCTCCTAGACTCTCAGTTATGCGTATTTATCGAACTGCATAGTATGCCTGTGTTCCTTGCGTGGCACTCAACCGTTACTGATGTTTTCGGCCTTAGGTCATACATTTACTGTTTATCCAATAAATCCACCACTGTTATTTTACAGTAAGCTAAAGGGTCCCTGCATAGTGGTACAGTTCATGTCCAGCGACCTCCCAATCCCAGATTTGTTATTCAAGGTGAATTGTGAAAAGCTACACGTATGCATAATACAACCAAGGTAAGCATTCAAGTCTAACAACGCGATGATACATGTGAATACCAATAAGAGTACAGTACCTACAATCACGGAAAACAGTCTAGTCCGATATTAGAATTAAGGCAAGCTGACATCTCGGACATACAACTGTAACGCCACAACTACCGCTAGCGCGATCACCAAACCTTCCTCATCGTATGTACCCAGTTCAATACACCGGCCTCTTAAACTTCACCCTTACCACCCCGAGTATAATGCTCACCACGCTCGTCGCCATCGCGAGGCTGCCCACGAAGATCTCCATTTTACCGAACCCGAACCGCCCGTACTTGCCGCTGAGCGCGCCGGTGCCCTTTCCCGCATCGTACAGGATGCCCGAGATGATGGGCCCGATGACAGCCGCGACTCCCTTGATGGTCGCAAACAGCCCGAAGATGTACGGCTGCAGCTCGCCCTTCTTGCCCGCGCAGTCCGTCGCCGCGGGTTGCCACACCGAGGCGAAGCCCCCACTCTATACGTCAGTTCGCGATGCATGAGTCTACCATCCGATAATAATAGTGCGAAGGAACTTACGAGACCGCCGAAAAGGACGGCAAAACCAAAGACCTGCCCGAGGTTGTAGGAGAAGCCCCAGAGAAGGAACGCGACGAGCGCGCTGCCGAACGCGCTTGCGCACGCGATCCACGGGTACGGCAGGCGATCGCACAGATAGCCGATCGCGACCTGTCCGAAGATACACGCGACATTGAACACGGACAGCACGGCCGTCGCGGAGAGCGAGGACGCAACAGAGGTGGTGAACACGGTCAGGTAGAGCGAGACCGGAAAGTAAGAGAGTGCTTGGAGCATGTTCACGCACGACTGCGGGCAGGCGCGCTTAGCTCCCAACAATGCAAGGACACACAAACGAGGGATGATACTCACGAACATCCAGAACGCGGCGTCCCGGAAGAATGGCAGCTCTTTGGGCACCACGCTCGGCCGAGGGGAGCCTTTCTCGTGCTTCGGAAGGGGCACACGCGGGTTAACCGCCAGCACGGCTGGTCCAGCGACCACTGCCATGATCAGGGCCCATATGCGTAATGTCCAACGAAACCCCAGACGTGACAGGAGGGCGTTCAGGATGAGTGGGAATACGAAGCCTACCAACAGACGACAAGTGTGAGTCCGTTAGGAGGTAAACCAGGTTATGGACAGCAGAGGCGTACCGCCGATACCGGAGCCGCCCATGACCAGCCCACCGGCGAGGCCGCGGTGCTTGACGAACCACTGAGGCAGCCAGAAGACGATGGGGATGTAAATCATCCCGCCTGCCAACCCGTAGATGACGCCTTGCAGGATGATAAGCTGCCATATCTTGGAGGCACAAAAGCGGCGTAAGATATCATGCTCCAGCGAGGAAGAGAGCATGCGAGGCTTACGGCATTAGCGAAGCTGGACACTACGAGCGCAGCGACGGCGACAACGAGACCAACCCACATTGTCGGTTTAATGAGGGTGGGGTAACGACGGAAGTATAACATTAGTGGAATCGTCTATCAAGTGGTGAGTGAAGGTGGTCATCGGCATGTCTAGGGGAGAAGACATACTGAACCGAATGTCAGTGCCAACGACACTGTTCCTACCGCGGAGATAGCGACATTGGAGGCTGATTGGAATTCATGTGTCGAGTAATACTCTGAAGATGCAAGATTCAGAATAACGCTACTTTGTTTTTTATGTGGTCTACCTTGGAAGACGCCGTAGCTATGATCATGTTAGTACAAGGTCATGCTCCTAGACATGGCATTGGAGACTGACGAATATCCGAACCCCCAGACCATGGTCTCAAGCCAGAAGGCCGCAAAACAGAATGTCCAAGCCCTCCAACCCCCGTCGACAGGTGGCAGCTCCGTCTCACGTCCGCTGACGACCTCACTTACGTCTTCAGCGTTGCTGGCAATCCTCTGCTGCTCATGTTCTGAGAGGGCATCTTTCTCCTGGAACTCCTTCGACCGCTGCATGACCAGCGTGGCGTCCGACCGGTACCGACCGTGGCCTCCCAGCGCTCGTGGAAGCCGCAACGTCCCTTCCGACCGTACATTACGCAGCTCGCTAGGATTTCTGGATAATTCCTGGACGCTGGCTGCAGGCCGCAGTGCCAGTTCAGTCGCCATATCCGGCATTCTTTTGCCCAAGCCGAGGAGTTATAAGCTGAACTGGGATATCTGAACAGTCAAGCGTCAGCAGCCCACCAGAGGGTGAAGGATACAAGCGGCAAATAACACGCCGACGGTATGTATAGAAGGTTTGCATAATGGACAGGTTCGAGATCATGCATCGTGAGTTGGATCGCTGTCTCAGTGATCTTTGCCGGAAGACCTCCATAACACATCCATTTATGGAAACCTGCATCGCTTCCATCTTTCGTTCTTTGTGGCTCTGCGTGGGACTCATCCAAGCTCTATTTAAGTACACGAGGTGCTCTGCTTAGTCCGCTACGCTTATCATGAGCAAAGGAAGGAGTCTGCAACTAGTCTGCATCAACAATGATTCATGCCGAAGATGCGTAGAAGACGAGCGCAGTCGTAGGCAAAGTAAGGACTCTCTTCGACAAAAGTATAGGGGATCCACACCCCGTCTTGTGTGAATACGGGATAACACCGGACGGCACAATTTTGCTGCCCGGTCTGTTCGGAGGGAAGTACCCGATCACTCATAGCGCCCATGGGAGAACGCCCTCGTGCATCAGTCTACCCTGCACGCCTTGATCAACGTATTCGTCTTTTGAGCAACGGTCGGACAATCATGCGACGCAAGTACTTCCTCCAAATACTTGGCCGGGCGGGAGGTATGTATGAACTCCTGCGCACATATGCTCCGTGCTGCCTAGGAATGCGGCGGGACCTGTTGTCTGCCCTATTTCCATCGTCGGGCTCCGTACCGCGTGGACCTTATCATATGGAAGAAAGAAAGTTATATCTGCGCGGCCTCCCTTGTTGGAGCCGGAGTATCTGCATCACGCAGTATTGAAACCTCCTTCCGGGGGTGACCCGCTTCGTCCTCCGAGTCTCCGACGCGTTCCTCCTCTTCAGGTCGTTAAGCCATGCCTGATGCGTCCAAGCAACTACGACCAGGCTAATCGCATCTCTATCTGACGCGCCCGATCACTTCATTCATCTCAATGCGCAGTCCAGCTCAGCATGATTATTGAATGCCCCCGAGCCCGAGCTGACGGAAGCAAATGAATTTGCTTCCGTCAGTTTCCCTGCTTTATCTCCAGCCTCGGGGCAGTCTCGGACCCTCCCCGCTTGAGTAACTCCAGAGGCTAGGACCAGAGCCCACGCACTTGGACAAGGTTCACCGACGGTTCTACGCTGATCCACTGGAGAGCCACTGCGATACGGATAGAGACCAGGCATCACCAGTAGTATCACCTAAGTGTCCAGGGCAGCCAGAGGACTGGAATGACCATGGCCACCTTTGGACATCCTATCCGCGAATGCGGTCATTGCGACTCATTCAACGTCAATCATCCATCAGTTTCACTGCCAATCAGTAATCCGCCGCCACTGATAGTAGCCACAGTTGTCGTGTTGCTCGCACCTTCAATATTACCCAGCTGTTACCCAGTTGCCAATGGGGTCCGCGCTAACGGCGACTACTGTTGCTGTATAATCCAACAATTACCGGATCAATGGGAACGAGCGCCGATACCAGATCACCTTGGAAGTTGGACGATGAAACATTCACAGCTGCACCGCGGTGATGTCCTTATCAAGGAAGTGCAATAATACATTCCACTTACAGCAGAATTGTGCGATCAGAGCAGCAAATTTACTGCAGGTCGTAGCTGACTTCGTGGGCGCAACATGAGAAATCGCGAAAGAAGTGCTCTAGCTTAGCACAGCGGAAGACTGTCCTTTCGTAAACTCTGGCGATTCTAAAGAACTTGCTCGAAGTGATCTGCAGTCTGCTGTGCAAGATGCGGACGCGCGAAGAAAGCTTTGGAAGCATGCTGTAACCAGGGGTTCCCTTTCCCACTTCCCTTGAACGGCCAGAATAGAATGCGCGTATCTGAGATAAAGCAAGTCGAATCACGCACCCGATATCTCACTGCGCACCACAGCAACGCATTGCCCCCTCTAGAATACATTCTATTGCACTTACTGATACTGATAACCATGGAGCCCTTGTCACCTCCCCGTTCCCGCAAAGAATCGCGCACCCTCCCCATCCGCGACCGCAATAATCTGCGCCCGCCCCGTCTTCGCCAGGACAGCGATGGCCTTCCTCAGTAGCACCACGGGGATGCCGGTGAGCGGGGAGGGCACGGGCGGGTCGGTGATTTCGTAGAACGTGAGGATCGTGGTGAGCTGGCCCGTGGACGTGACCTGGGTGATGTAAGGTTATTTGGATTAAAGAAAAGGTACCCGAGGGAAAGGAGGTACGCACCCATTGGTGGAGGACCTCGGCCCATTCCTCGGGGAGTCGCCAGTATAGGAGCACAGAGCGCGTCTGCTTCGGCGGCTCGTACACCGCCTGGTTCTTCGCTACCATCTCTGACAGTATGTAGGATAAATGCGAAGGGAGTAATCTACCTATCTCCGCGCCACCCGTGAGTGGATATCCCATGATACGGCGGCATTGATACGCACGCTTTATTCGGTCGTTCCTAAGGATCTCGTCCCATTCGCTGCCTTGAGTCTCAGCGTCCTCTACGCGTATGAAGAACAGATTGCGGTGCCGCGCGTAAGACAGGATCAGGCGACTCCATGTTTCAGTTACGATCTTCTGAGTGTTTGGGTTCGGTTGCTGTCTGCGAACGTACACCTTTAGTGTCTATCCGTCGCAGGCACATACGCTTTCGCGTCCTCACGTAAAGAAGGGCGGAGCAGAATGTATGGATGGTAGCAGAAAACCTGTAATCCGTGAGCCGACTGAGTGGCACGGCGCCGGGAGACAAACCTGATCGTGTTGTGTGCGTTGATAGAGCCATTCAGCTTCGCGTCGACAGGGGAGCTAAGGTGATTAGCCACAGCACAAACAAAACCAAACTGTCCGACACACTTTGGATTTGCTTCCTTCCAACCTGCAACTCCAGTTCCTACAAAGCTGCTGTATAATCGCTCTCCTGGCTTGTCTGTTGATTGAACGGCTTAGACTTGCGATACCTTTGTTGGTACTGGAGGCGTCGAGTTTTTCTTGCGATTTCCAGAGGAACGACAATATTGAACGTGACATCGACCTTAGGCGCGTCACCATATATGGTCGTCTCTGCACAAAGGCTTTGGACTGTCGAAATGCGCATGGGCGACTCGGCGAGCAAAGTGGTAGGCAGAGTAGCTCCTCTTCATATATACGGTAGAGTTTGCACAGAATAGCAAACCAATGCAATCGATGCTTATCTGCAGGGCGAACCGATGCCCCGTGTTCCCCACGAGGCTCCCGCCGTACTCCAGCATGGTGAACATAGTGCTTATAAACCGGGGTGCGCGTACCGCGTCTGCCTGATACTTGATCATTGTCCGCCACTGGTGGCCGCCCCCGCTACATTGACTCCGACCGTCATCAGCCGTTACTCTTCGTTCTGTCTTTGACCATGATAGCCGTTTTCACTGATACCCAGCTTATATGGTGTGGTGTCGCGAGTGCGGCAGCTGCTTTAAGCTACGGCCTCAGAAATTCTGGGTTCCGTATTCCACTCCAACTCCCGAGCCCCCCGAGGTGAGTTGTGGATCCTGACAGCTGTGCAATCATGATTATGATAATGCCACCGCGCTACCTCTGTCAAGCCTGCCGAGCCTAGCTTTCGCGAGTGAGGCTCTGACACGGATATCTCTGGGGAAGCGCAAGCGTAGTTCCTCTCACGTCTCAAATGCGTCAGCCTCTACGCTAGAGTCAGACCGAGATAGGATCGCGTCAGACTCGGAGGAAAACGAAGATATCGTGAGTGCCACACCGGGGTACTTGCTTCCAGGCCCGCTGACGGGACTGCAGGTTGCCGATGAGGCTCAATCCTCATCGCCCATTCCAGCGCGGGATGACGATGATACGGTAAGTCCCTTGTAGCACGCCTATTGCACCCTCTATATTGAATGGGCTTGCTGCCATGGCAGTACGAAGTGAGTCCGAATCAGTCTCCGACTAAATAAGCGGAAACCTGACATTCGATTAAAGGATGCCTCTCGTCGCAAGCGGCAACGGATATCCGCCGAGCGCGAGGGAATCGAAGAACTAGTAGGCCTTGTTATCCTCCTACACGGCTAACGGTTACTCACGGGGAGACGCTATGCAGGCAACCATCTCGATGGACGTCGATGTGCCATCCCAGGAACTAGAGCCAACCCAGGACATCATCCAAGTCGATGAACCTTCCAAAGACCTAGTTCCCGCTCAGGAAACAGCGGAACCGCCGGTTCTTAACCCCGACTCTTTTGACGTACCTGTACGTTACTCTTATTCACGTCGGACTTATGTCATGGCCCGCCTGCTTCTCGAAGAAATTGGAACGTCCGCGGTATATTCTGCCGTGCGAGTGGACTACAGAAGATGCCAATACTACTTCAAACCCCGACTATCCACGATCTTCGAAGCCCAGGCGGGCACATCCATATTCTCCCGTGCATACGAAGGCCACTAACAAGCTGTGCATCCAGATTGCTACCGAAGTCGCCGAAGTTGTGACGCCTGCGAGTGATACGAGCGAAGCGCTGCTGGAAGCGGGTGCGAATATTCCTGATGACTCATCTTCGGGAGCACGAGTGGTATGCAGGAGCCCCTATAATTTTGTGTCGTTATTGCTCACATCCATCAGCCGCCTGCAAACGCGTCTACGGCCATTACAACGGCCAGCTCGCCGCGGCGCGCATCAGCAGATTTCCACCATACATCGAGCTTCCCCGCTGCCACTTCCAGCACGGTACGCCTTTTGATCTGCGGGTAGTTTCATTACAGTGCTGATCAGGTGCATCAAAGTCTACGAAGTGGGCCTCCACTCCGACATGGGCTTCGAGGTCGGCCTCCACCATCCCGCCAGCTTTCCCTTCAGGACCAGTAAGTAGCAATGTGTGGCGCGTACATGAGCAGCTTTAGATGAACACTGTTTGAACAGCTTAGGCATCCAGATGCGTTCTCTGCGTTCGCGTCAACGCAGTCGACGGTCGGTTTCAAGTGTGCTCGAAATACGGACGATTCAGCCTTACCCGCCTGGATGGACACCTCGTCTCCTGCGACACGCACTTCCATTGATGACTCATCGGAACCTGAGAAGCCTTTGGCTATGCAGGTACATAAGCCAAGCAGCCACAACTGTAAGGCGTGTTGTAGGATTCTACCGATGGCTTGAACTTACGAGCCTTGTTCAGGCATTACAGGAGAGGAGGACGAGGATGTCGAGGCCGATCTGAAGGGGGTTCGACTCCTCGTCAAGCGAGGGAGCAAGGACTTCGTGGACTGTGGACGGGGCCACATCAAGCTCCTTGAGAGTAAGGAACCTGCGAGCGAACGTCTAGGTAGGCATGTCTACTTATGACATGTACTGGTGTCTCACGGCGAGCAGTGTTCCGAAGAGAGCAAGTACTGAAGCTCGCTATGAACGTACGCTTACGGTCGACTGTGCGGTGTACATTCAGCGAAGAGGAGAATGTGCTGCGTGTCATCCTCAAGGAACCGAGCGATGTAGGCTCTGAGGAGCTGGTTGTCTATGCACTCAAGGTGAGACCGTACCTCCCTACCCATGATCTGCAGCTGAACGCGTGTCTGAAGGTCGGCAAGGCATCAAAGAAAGAGTTTGCCGACTTCGCGGCTTTGGTCGCGGGCAGTCCGCATCTGAAGGCGGCGTAGAACCTTTTTCTTTCCCGGATACCCTACACTACTGTAGACTCCGACTACCCACAGCTAAATCCCGGCGTCGTACATGGACTATTTTTTCGGCGTGACTCTTCTTTCGCATGAATGCAGCGGTGGCAGCGCTTCGGGAAAGCGGCTCTACGCTGGCTTGGGCTGTTGACGGACTTGGCGGTATGTTATTATGTGTATGTATGAGTATCATGCTATGATATGCGCATGATATACTGTACAGACAAGGGAGCGAGTCAAGACTCAGACTAAGTTTGAGGTGAGTGCCCGTCATCGTGCTTGTGACATCCTGGGCGGCACAAGGTCAGTCTCGGTCCATGTGGACTACCCAAATGAACGCACTCAGACAGCCGCCAATTGAGCTTCTGTCCATTCCCACAGTTTCTTGGCCACATTCTGGTCCTTGGATAGTTTGTCGCGTCGGCCAGGCTTGCCAACTGGTTCGTAGAATTCACCGTTCACTATATCCTCCTTCTTGTGCGTAGCGGCCCACAGTTGATTATATGCACCTTCCTCAGGTGTCAAAATTCTTCCAAGGTTCGTGACATAGATTATGGCTCTCTGGACGAAAGACAGATTCGCGACCATATCCGTACCGACGACGCCAGGGTGCACCGAGACACTGGTGATTTCCGGATATCGCCTGGAGACCTCGACTGCATAGAGAACGTTGGCTAGTTTGCTCTGGCCGTATGCCCTCCATCCGTTGAAGCCAAGACCCTCTTGTGGAGTCTTGAGATCGTTGAAAACGATACCCTCGTTGGGATGGAGCCGGTATCCCAATGAGGTGACTAGGACGATCCGCACATCAGCGCCAGGTTGTTGGGCCGTCTGAAGCATGATGGGCAAGAGATGCTTGATAAAGAGTGCGTGCCCAAGATGGTGCGTGGCGAAGTGTACTTCGTATCCATTTTTGGACAGAGCTGGTGTCTCGGCCTTTATACCCGCATTCGCGATGAGGACGTCAAGACGCTGAAGGCGGAGCTGCTTAGCAGCTTCATTAACCGATGCGAGGGACGAGAGGTCGCATTGGACGAAGGTAGTCTTGACGCGAGGCGACGCTGTTGCGACTTCATTTACTACTTCCTCGGCACTCCTGGCGTTGCGCCCGGTGAAGTATATATGGTCGGGCCCATGCTTGGCAAGAGCGAGGATTGTCGCTTTGCCCACGCCCGCGGTACCTTCATTCAAATATCTCAACGTCTCGAATCATGGTCCATACATCGGTTTTATTAAGCCCTTACCACCAGTGATAAGGATGATTTTCCCGGATAGACTGGGAATATCCTTCTCGGGGTCAAAGTTTTCGCAAAACTTCATAACGATAGCGAGATGAAGTACGGCAGGGAAGTCTTCGGATTGACGTAGGGCCCAACCTGAGCCTGAGGGGAGAAATGGTTTGACGTACACCTGGGTACTTATACGTATCACACTAGCACTTAATCCTTACTAAGGTTTAAGATGGGGCAAATGGGTGCCGAGGCGACGCGCCCAGCACGGCAGGTACAAACAAGCCTGCGCTTACTGCGGGATACCTACCCACTGGCAGTGATGGATAGCTATAGGCGGACCGTGGATGGACCGCGTCACTCACCTTGAGCTCTTGAGCAATGGTCGTCACGATGGACGAGTCACTTCAATTGTGAGCATGAGTTGTAGTACTTACTACCTACTCCAATATGGTCATGGATCATAGTTCAGTTGTTTGGGATTCGTTCCTCGATTACTGTACTATCGGTCGTATTTTATCCCTCAACGTGAATGTCGTCCATCGAGTACTAGTATAAACTCATGTTCTATATGATTCTATACAATGAGAATGAAGACCATGAGTAGTGTCACAGTACAAAGAAGTCTGTAGTTCATGACAGTTCGAACTCCCAGTGACGTGGAAACTACCTGCTGCACCTGATAATTCCCGCAAGTCGGAGCAGAGGCGCCAATAACTTCAGGGTTAGAGAGACGGTGCACCTTCCCATTGAAAGCGGAAGAGCCGCTCGAAGATTCTACAACGGCACTTGCCCCAAGAATAGCGCCATTCCCTGTTGAGTAATTCAGCCTCAATAAGGTACAAAAAATGGGAGAGTTTCTGGCCCACCTCCGTATGCACGAACTTGTACATAAGGTGATTCTGAATCCATGGTCAGAGAGGTCTCGAATAGCGATCGGGACGCATTGGCGGCGGATGAGAGGGTGTGGGGGGCACTCTTGTCGCCGACTGCGACTTCCCACATCTGGACCTCCGTCGCACCGTTCCTAGAGTCTTCGTCAACTTTGCATACTCTGTCCCAGCGCAATGGTGGCCTCACCAGCTGACGTAGACAGTCCTGGTATATCCAAGCACCAGATCAGCTTGGCCTACTCAAGAGAATCTTTCTCCAGACACATACGTGCCGTTAATCGCTAAGTCTGGTACAGCTCTCGGAAACCCTTGCCATGTAGTTGATTTGAAAGCACGATAATTCTAGTTGCGGGAATGTCAGGAACAAACGTAAATAGCGCTGAACCTGAAACTCACTTGCACAGGGCCGTCACTCAGGTTCTGACCACCAAGAGCTGCGGAGTACATCATAGTACCATTCGGGCTGATTCATGAAACTCAATAAATTTATACAGAACCTAGCGGACCGAGCACCACCTACTAATACTCGGATAACCTGAGCACATAATTCAATTATCTTTGATGCAGCGGCTCAAAAAAGCCGCACGTACCACGGACTCGAGCCCCACCCGAGCAGCCAATTACCACTCGCGAGCAACTAGCCACATGTGAGCACCATGTGACAGACATGACAATACTGCGTTTGGACATACATTCGTGTTACCTTGAGATTGGATAGGATGGGACTGCAAAGGGTAGAAGGCCGTTCTGAGCGAGACACTCATGTTGTCGAAGTTCAGGTCCATAACCATGCCTCGTCCAGCTGAGTCAATCAATCAGAAACCTACGTGTCCCTGCGACACACTGAGCGGCAGGAACTCACTGCTTTCGTCAGTATCGTCGCCGTTACCTATGTGTCTGGTTAGCCGAACGAACTCGGGAGCGAGTACAAAGAGTTGAGGGACTCACTGGCATTATCGAAGAGGGATATGGCGGTGTAATTATCGCGCCACCGGGCGTCGTGCTGCCACTCGTAATTGCAATCATCGCACATGTCCCAGTCGCTATGCTTGCCTCCCATCGTCCATATCACATCACCCGTGATTCCATCTACTTTGTAGAGCTGGTGATAATGCCTGAACAACGGACAGCAGGTCTACACGAAATTAGCGATCCAAAAAGCGAGCGCGCCCACCTGGAAGAGACGAGGTAATTCCCGTCCGTGTCTTTATCAATGGAGTTCATATGGAAGCTGAGGTGTTGCACGTTGCACCCGTCGTCAGCGATCCTTTCAACCCGCTCTCGTTAATGAAGACTTACTAGTCCCAAGGATTGCTTTCGCTGTCGTCGGTCCAGAATCCTTCATACGAGTCCGCGAAATCGACGTGATCGCTCGCACTACAGAACAGATTAATCATGACAGCGTTGCCCTTAGGCGTCGCACCGTGTATGCACGCACTTCCAACTAAATAAGACATCTCCTGTAGCGATGTCAATCCTGAAGGTTATCAGCGTAGGGAATCACAGCGTTTTTAGGAAAGCGAAAGCTCACTCTTGAAATGCGCACTCCAGCAGCCAGTCGTCCCCGGTCCCTCCGACTTCGCTCAAGTCGGTGTTAAGCACATAGTACGCCGTCAAAAGTGCCGTCCGGTTGTTCACCGGTGGTATATAAAATTCATGGATATCTGCACCGTTTGGGAAAGTACTCGTGAAGTTGTAGATGACGTCGTAAGTCGAATTCATTATAATTCCCTGAGTTGTGAAATGTCAACACGTCGAGTACGTATGCTGAAGGCAGCAAGACGCACCCGTCCTGCTCCCCATCCGTTCACTACGTCTCCAACCCACATAGTCATGACTTCCGTCCCGTTTAGCTGCAAGATTATAGTTCAATGAGTAACCATCTAGTCCCTTCGTTGGTCATGTAGGTCATACCGTCTGTGTCCTCAGGTCAAAGCAGTCATTGATGCCCATACCGGCCCCAGCCCAGATCAAGTCACCGTCGGACCTGTAAATGGCCGGTCCAGGCATGGGTACGCTCGTCCCTCTCGGACACCTAGTCCTTATTTAATGACCACTCCCAGGGCAAACATGTCCAAGGGTATTCAGACTCACGTAAAGTAATATCCACATTCATAATCACTACTAGGATCCGAGGTGATCAAGAGTGCTACTGGATTCAGATCTGACCGAGAGTTGTACTAGAAACATGTAGTCAAAAATCCTCAGGCGACTACTCTAAGCACCGGGAAAAAGGCAGACCATGGACTTACTGTGTATGTTTGTTGACCACACGCGATATCCAGAAGAGCAAGTGCTGCCAGGACCCAAAGGACGACCATTACAGCGCAGGCGATGCCTGGAGTTAGCTAAACGGACACAGAGAGGTCGATGCGCAGGCAAAGCACTCAAGATGACTTCCGTCTATACATACTATCGACTGCGGAACGCAGGTCTATGTCACTGATAGGGCGCCGTTCCCTGCAGCCTATGCGGCCTCCATCGGCACAGTGATGTAAAATTATAAGGCCCTATCCGACGCATGCATATGGTGAGATGCGATTGTTGTACTAAGTAGTGGTCTTGACCCGCTCTGGTCGAGTATCAAACCAAGCATTCACTAGCACTGATTAATGATTACCGGTGATGGGAAGAAAGCGAGTGAGCTATATAGGCTGCGGCTTCAGTCACTGTGGCGCAAATTTGCCTCATCTGCATGATAAGATGTACTACCGTGACCAGTACCGTGACATACATAGTAGTATAGTACAGCAAATAACTTCATAATCGGTGCTCAGTAGGAGACGCAACGACCTTTCAGCCAGATAGCTATTTCCAACCACAAAGGCTGTCAAGGATGAATTCTGTCGTGTAACTACGAAGGCGATCGCCAGAGACATCCTCAGATGCAAAAGGGTTGCCCAAACGGTACGTCAAAATACTGCCCGCGCGATGCAAGTTACCTTCCGTATGTCACTTATGAAGAAGAAGACCAAACACTTACGAAGAAGTGAGGAGGGTTAATCCCCGTAGAAACGACGGAGTCTGAGCAAGTCGGGTCTTCACCATCTGGGGCGCACTCTTTCGTATTAGCAGCCGTTGGAGGGTCTGGGTTCTGCCAATGCTCAATCCCTGAACAAAGCTGTGGGTAGGATGGGCTGAATTTTGGGGGCAATCCATACCATGATGCCTGTAGCCTAGGGCTGGCGATATCATCGTTGGGACACTGTCAAGGGAATACCAGATTCACATCTTTTACGATATACGAACCAACGTCATGAGCGTACGTACCCATCAGTCGTGTGGACAACTAGAGAGAATGTATCAGTATTCGTACAGAGACCATGGAACACCGCCATTCACATCGATATGCGTTCGAGCCAAATAGGTCGTTGACATAGTACGCGTAGGTCGGATTGCCCAAGCGAGGTTCTCCATATGTGTACATCCGCACGGCGCTACGTGAGAGTATCACCTCATCATGCAAAGCGTGGAGAGCAGCTGCGCGTACTTGCTAGGGAAATTCGATATCATGCTGACTGCAGCGAGCGACGACAACGCGCCGCCCAGGGAGTGTCCGCTGGTAACGATAGAATAGTCGGGATAGTCTACAAGCTGATCTCCGACGGCGGATATTATGCGAAGGGCTACAGAGTTCCAACTCACGCCCCACTCCGCTCAGTTGGCGGCAGAGATTAAGATGTGCCTGACTTACTCGGTGAGAATCCCGGTGTGCACCTCCGTCCCAACTAGAACATAAATGGATTTAATCTGCTGGATGGTATTGTATCTGACGAAGTGTACTAACTGGGAGGTGATACCCCAGGGGTGGTGTATGCCTCAAGTGCAACCTCGCCGTCCTCAAGGTAATCCTGTACGGACGTGCTGACGGGCGGGAAAGGAGGTGAGAGAGGGGGCCGCTCCGGAAGCAGGAAAGACGCATTACCTCCCTCGTAAGGCTATTACGATTTCTCGGCGGTTGTCATCCCTGGCTATGAAACCTTGGGTGTCGGTAGTCGCCTCGGAGAACTAGCAGTGAGATGCAACAGTCAAGGAGTGTTTTGTTATCGCGCTATAGGGCGGGAATATAGACCTCCTCGATAAGAGTGTCGCCGTTCGGGCTGGAGCAATTTACGTTATATGCAGACGAAGCATACTGGAAGTAGAAGAATAGGTCATCAAATAATGCTGATGCATAAGGAGTCAGAGAGCATCAGTAGCATGCATATTCCAGAGGCTGGCACCTTCTGAGATGGCTCTCTTCTCGATGTTCGCGGAAGAGACCAGCGGAGGCCCTTCAGCAATAGCAACGGCAGCACAGAAGACAAAGAGCAAAGAGAGAAATTGCATCGTGGGTACCTGCGACGTAGAATGTCTGAGGCACGGACACCGGTCTTCCTTTACATTGCAGCAGCCTTTTATATGGCCTCTGAGCCGTCACCTGTCGACAGCATAATAAGGTCAATTGGCATAATGATACGACGGCATCCGAAAGCAGATGGAGAGTCGACGGGCTATCTCCGAGAAGCCCATAGTTACAAGGTCTGCTGCACGAACGATAAGGGACATTCCGTACCTGGATCTAAGATTATGAAGTCTACGGGGAATTGTGGAGCTGCGAGCTGTGTGGCACACAGCGATACATAAATCGGGGACCAGAGTTGATGGACTGCTTCACCTGAGAGGTGTTATGACCTTGTGAATTGCAGGCGACCCACATATTATTAGCGGAAGGGGTCCTAACGCTCGATATTGTGAGCATCTTGCGTTAATGCGGTATTAGAGCTTTAGGATCTGCAAGAAAGCACCTATAAGTAGTAAACGTATCGTCATATATAGTATGAACCAAATTTTGACTCGAGATCGACAACTTTAGCTCACACTTGTGATGCCGAGGTCGATACCGGCTGTTGTACAAACGTGTCACAATTGAGCCGCGCAAAATCGCGAATATCGAAGCCTCATCCGCTGAGTACGTCGGAGAGATCGCGGAAACAACGAACTTGTAGCCCACGCCATTTGGATTCAGTTGGGGTGATTGTACCTCGGTACAAGTGCCCACAGAACATACGCAGCTTAGTCACACGCGCAGTCCCGCCAAGCAGATATCGAGTCAGATGGGGTGCGTCTAGGGAATCTCAGGCGGGTGTGGTCCATTCGTACAGATGAAGCTGGCGGGTTGCATCACTTTTATGCTAAGAAGCCGCGGATCGTACATTGCATATGTTCATAAATCACGCACCGCATTAAGTGGTGTTTGATGGATCACATACGTACGGCAGTCTTAGACAGGCCGCTGTGGACTACAGCCTACTGTGAGGCAAAACTGCTTCACCGTAGCGAGGGAGTCCACAAACCGACGCTGGAACAGATGAAGAGAGCGCAAACGAGTGGCGGTGCAGTCATAAGGGGAGGTATTTCCACTTAGATACACCAGACCGAGCCAAGTCCTTTCCCCGGGCCTTATCGACGAGCTGGTCAGCTTACGGACGCTGTTCTCGATGAGCATAAGATTTTTGCTCCTTGTGCCACATACGGCAGCAGGAAGAGTATAAAGAGGGAGCTTCCCAGAGTAGAGCAAAACAGGGAATCACTGGATGAAGAGGCCTGTAGTTGAAAGGTTGAATTTGCCACAAAGCTGCAGCCTGCGAAGCGTAGGATACCGGGTATCGGGAAAGGCCACGTGACACACGCGTCGTGGGACGCGTCCCAAAGCAAAGTCCGTGGCACCACACGATCGTACCTCTAACTTGCCTCTGACTTATTAATATAAGTCTTGCAAAGCCTCCCGTCCTCGACGACTATCGGCCACATATCGCTTGGTATCAAACTCCTGGATGAATGAACCACACTGCGCGATATGCATCGAAACGCTGCCCATGGATCGGTTTCGGCTCCTGAAGTGCGGTAGGCAACCCTGTTCCGCAGTCTCGATGCTTGGTTCACAATAGAAATCGGGCAGGTCATGCATTCTGCGAAACATGCTTGAGCGGGTATCTCGCAACATCATCAAGCGCTAGCAGGCCGTGCCCGCAGTGCCGCAAGCCCATATACAGGAGTGATCTCCGCCCCATCTTTCTGACTTTCTCAGCGTCTTCAACTGTCTCGTCAACCTCAGGCCCTGCTGAAGATGAGGATGAGAGCATGAGGAAAGCCAGGGAGGTCGCTGAGAAGTTGAGCCGCATGGACGACCGCTCCAAGCCAAAGACTATCGAGAGGGCCAGCCGTGAACTGGAGAAGATCGCAAAGGCGGTGTCACCGGGAGGGGAGAGCAATGACGTAGCTCAGGTACGCTCGCGCGCTGCTCGCTACTGTTTCAGTGTACCCACAACGACCTTCGTGAAGTCCCTCATCTGGGACGCAGTCCACGCCTTTGAGCAACGCATCGCACCCAACCTCACCGAAGTGGCTTTCCTCCGCAAAGAACGCTCCAGATTGCAAGCTGAGGTCCAAACGCTGGAGCGCGATTGTCAACGCATGTCCCTGAGGGCTAAAAGCCTAGAGAGGAAAGCGGAGCAGGCCGTCAGCGCCGCGGAGGCCGCCGTTGCATCCCTTCAATCCCTCAACAAGGACTATGCGGACTTTCAGGCCAAAGCAGCGAAGATTGCGGCCAGCGAGGCGGCTGCTGTTGAGAAGTACGAGCGACTGGCGGAGAGTAGTCACAAGTGGCAGAGTCTCATTCGCGCACACAAGGATAAGGTATGTCTGAATTCTGGTCAAATTTCCCTGGTTATATGCTCTGTATGCGGCGCCCCACTGATGATTCCCTAGGAACTGAAACAGAAGAAGAAGATACAGGCGCTGAAGAAGGATAACGAGGACAAGAACCGGCTCATCGAGGAACTCCTGCGCAAGCTGCCCTCGCAGTACTCCTCCTACCCGTCCCAGCACGACCGGGACATTGAAGGCGAGAGTGACCTTGACCATAGCCCTGCCTTCTCGGAGGACGAAGGAGACGAAGCCGCTAGCCTAATCGTAAGCTATACCCATCATCCCCTCTTCGCTCACCACAGATGCAACAATATCTGCTCTCCAGGTCGACTTAGATTCCGTACCAACAACGCCCGCTCCGCAACGAACCTTCAGACAACCTCTCTCCCCCCTCGTAGCAGAAAGCCGCCCCAACCGCACGTCAGAGACTCGGCCCCAGCCTCCGCGATTCAGGTCGGACTGGCAGCTCCGCCAGCCAGAACCGAAGAGGCGGAAGGCGAACCCCGAGCAGCCGTTCAATTTCCCGATCGACGTCGACGGGAAGGGACGGGCGAAGAAAACTGTGCGGTGCGGGACGAAGAGGAAGCTCACGTGTGCTTGAGCCTGAGTGTTTGTGTACTTACCAGGATGCATGAGGTTGTAATGATCGATACCAGGGACGGGATATATCTAGTGTAATTGTGAATATGCTTATCATGGTCATCTTTTACATACAGTCCAGAATACTGGGGCAGTATGAGCCAATGACGGGTAGGTGCTTATGCACACCAAAGCTGATGGGGTCAAGCCTACTGAGTACAGAAAGGCGTACCAACCATAACACCAAAATACTATCCACGCGGTAGGTAAGTTGACTATTAATAAACGCTCAGCTTACACGAACGTGGTACTTACGAAGACGTGATCAATGTTGATTCCGGTGGAAGGGATGGAGTCTGAGCATGTCGGGTCCTCGCCGTCAGCCGCGCGCTCCTTGGTATTCGCAGCACTCGGCGGGTCTGGGTTCTGCCAGTATTCAATCCCTACATAGTAAACAACGTTGGGTAGTCGACAGCACCGGGTGTCTTAGATCGTACCATGGTGCCTGTATCCCTCGGCCTGCGATATCTCCGTCGGAACTCTGTCGGAGTGAGGTCAACAGTTGGTCAGTTGGTCACGATCCTGACAGAGTAACTCGCTCACCCGTCGGCTGCATGGACAACTAGGGAATGCATGTCAATATTATCAAAGGACTTGACTGGGCTTCACCTACATCGATACGCATTGGGACCAAACAGATCGTTGACGAAGTATGCGTAAGTGGGGTTGCCCGTGCGCGGTTGTCCGTATGTGTACATTCGGACGGGGCTGTAGTGGAAGGATGAGACCGTCTGGATAAAAAGAAAAGCAAGCAGACTCCTCGCACTTGACGGGGAAGTTCGATTTCATGCTAACGCCAGCGAGAGATGACAATGCGCCACCCAGGGAGTGTCCAGTCGTCACAATAGCGTAGCCCGGGTGCTCGAGGAGCTGCTCTCTGACTACAGATATTACCCCGGGTGCAACAGAGTTCCAACTGTAACCAGCAGAGCATTCAGCCTACGAAGAAGATTGTAGGCATACTTCACTTACGCGGTGAGAAATCCGGTATGCGTCATCGCTCCAGCTTTGTTGAGTGTTGTGAGTGCTCGTCTATTGCACAAGGAGGACACCTGGCTCACGAGGCGGCACTACACCAGGAGACACGTACGGCTCAAGGGAAGTTTCACTGTCTATAGCAAAGTCCTCAACGGACGTACTGATCGATGTATAACTTCACGGTGTGCTTGAATACAAGGATATCCCTCACCTGCCACGCAGCGAAACAACAATCTCGCGCCGAGTGTCGTCCCTGGCTATGAAGCCTTGTGTATCGGTCGTCGAGTTCGAGAACTGGGCATCAGGTATATATGCATGTAGGACGACGCAGTGAGCGAAACCTACCTCTTCAATGAGGGTGTTGCCATTCGGGTAGGCGCAATACAAGTCATCCGCGGACGACGCGTATTTACAGTAGAAGAAAAAGTCGTCGAACACCTCTAATGCCGGTGGAGTTAGACGACTTCATGGGCAAAAGACCGAAGATCTGGACCTTCGCACCTTCCGAGATGGCCCTCTTTTCTAAGTTCCCAGACGAGTACACCGGGTGCGCGACCGCAGCCACAGCATAGCAGAGCGAGAGGAGCCAGAGAGCTTGCATACCTACGTCCGCTTGAGAAGTAAGGCCGATACGACTAAGTCTGCTTCCCTTCCATCCTGCAACCGCCTTTTAATGATCGCGGAGAAACATCCGCCGGTAGGATGAGTGCATATTCAAAGTGTATGCTAGACGTATGAGAAAGAATCCCGTTGACGTCTGGAGTCAAACTGACAGAGTTAGGCACGAGCGGTAGAAACATAACTATTTACAGCTTGTGCTGGGACGACAGGGAGATTATTTGCTCCGCTTCTACGTGGAAGGCAGTCAGGGCCACAACGAAGGCAAGGGTTGTGAGGGTACACACCACAAAACATCCAGACCTGAAGGGGTGCATCTAAGCCCATAATCCAAGCAAGTAAGAGGGGCCTTCGTACGAGATAAAATGGTAGCCGGCAACGTATGGTTGCTGCGCTATTACGATAATACGAAGTCCTTTACAGCAGTTCTTTTTCTGAACTATCCAAGAACGCCGCACCCAGAACAACATATCTAGAAGGCGTGGTTCAGTCTAGTCTTCTGGAGACGCACCTATGACCTTCGGAGCATATGCATGCGGATGCGAGCTACGGAAGCATCTTGGAAACGACTCAAAGTATGTATATTTGATCTGCACATGTAGACCGAGGAACGGACTGAGAAAGGCCATATTATGTGCTACCAGAGCCCAACTTGAATTCTGGATATTTCGGCTCCACTGGCACAGCTGGAACGGCTGAGCGAAAAGACCCCAAAGATATGCGCAAGCCATCAAAAGTCGAGAGCATAGTCAGAGCCTAAGGTTAATTAGACTTATGTAAGGTTATGCTATTGTTCCGATTCCTCTAGAATCGGTTTACTGTTCAGTAGTTGTATAGGGCTCTCTGGTGATCGAGAAAGCGAGCGCTTAACAGGGGTTATACCACTTACAGCCCAAATTACTCGAAATGTAATAGGAGCACTGCTCATAAATGGTAGGTGGGCCGATCCAAATCTTACCGCCACCAACAAATAGGAACTATTACCCCTTACAGTGGCGTGCGAAAGTAATGCACCACCCAAGATAAATGTATATCTCTGCAACCACTTGACCATTCTCTTCGGTGTAAAAAGTAAACTTTTAGCCCTCCTTCTGGGCAACAATATGGCAGTACTATGGAGTGATGTAGGTGCCCCTATCAGGAGAGAGAGGCTCTACATCAAAGACCCCAATTTTCAACTTTTTACTGAGAGTCCCGATAGACTAGCGGTTATGACCATCTGAAAGAGGCAAAAACACTGTGCAATTTTGATACCAGAATGACCGTGATTGACTACACCATTGTGGAGATACAGGGCCAGAAAGTAGGGGGTCTAGGTGTAAAACTCAGAAATATTATACCAAAATCCCAACTTTCTGACCTCATATCTCCACAATGGTGTAGTCA